ATGCCAGTGGTCGTGTAGTTGTTTGCTGAGAGGACGTAGTCTGCATAGCAATTACTCGGTGGTTATAACGTTGTTTATTTAATTCTGTCAAGAGCAAAAGCATCTCGGAGCTCCTGGAGTGTTGTTGGCACAAGGTGACAGAAAACATTCGTCAATGACTCTTTGATATTTAAGATATTTGTCGCATGAATTGTCCAGCAAGATCTCCGTCTCGTACACCGTACGATATGCTCTAAGGAGATGCATCCCTCTATCAATAATATTCCAAGGAGTTCAATAATGGAATTTCTCGACGTGGTTGATAAACGTTATAAACACTATGAGCAATTGCTGAGAATCCTGTGCGTATGCAGGAAACAACCACGCTCCATATTAACCATTTTCTGTGAAAAATTACGACAATGCTTAACACTTTTCTTGTTATTTTTTGGTTTGACACGATTCAGATTAACTTTTTGTTTTTTCGATTGTATTTTTATGCAATAAAACAATGCTCTGTTAAATATGTTAAGCGTCAGGCTGTTCTGATCAATAGTTTGGGGTATAGGACAAATTAATGGTTATGCTTATTTTTTGAACATGAGTGTAGTGATAAGACTACAATTAGTGAAAATTCCGGTTTTATCGGCATTAACTATACTAAATTTTGTGAAAAAATTCGACTAGAATTCGAAAAATTGAATATTTAAAAATAAATTTCATATCTATCTACCGATAAGACAAACTTTCACTGAAGTAATTAAGCGAAAATCTTGAAAGAAAAGCAGTATGCACCGGCTAATCGTAATTAAAATATCATATTTAACGCCGTTAGAGATATTTAGCAATTTAAATGTGGTATGGTAACGTTTCAGAACGTGCGGAACATATTTTCGTAAAAAAGTTAGTACTAAAACTCAACACTAAGGCATTTTATTGTGCTGAAAGCAACATTTTATTTGTACAAGGCACTCGTGTACGCAGAGATCCAAGGATTACTGCTCAATGTGGTCCCTATTCTGGGATGGCGATGGACGGTGTGTTCATCGACTAAATGATTATCTATGATACTGTCTTCTCATCTCGCATCCTCTTTCTCATGTCCTAAAATGTCACTAAGCCATATTTGGTTGTATTTGAACAGCTAAATATCTTTCTAAATAGCATTTTGAATAAGGGTATTTTAATTACGATCACTCGGTATATACAAGACAAAATAAGAAAAGGAATGAGAAAATTAGACAAAAATAAAAAAAAAACGATTAACATACAGACGAGAGAATAGCTGGAGCTTAAAATTAGCAATCAATTATCAACTCATAGATAACAGAGCCTTATGTAATCGTGTCATTTCAGAAGCAATGAATCATCTCATTTGGTCACAGGTTGTATTGCGAGTTGCATAATGTGTTATACACTCGGCTCGGCATAAGTGCATTTAAAACATACAAAACGGACTTGTCATTACATATTAAACTAATCGTAAAGAAAATAAAAGTGTTTTGTAAGTAAATATATAAAAATGAATGCTATTTCTGCTAATATATTTTATGTTTCGTATAATTGCGCAACCTTTTAATAGGGAAATAAATCGCATAATTTTATTTCGTCATCATTTTTCCGTTTCTTAACGACTTCTCAGAATAAATAATAATAATAATAATTCAATAAACGATTTTTTTTTCAAACTGGTCTATATATATATTAAAATTTACCTGTTTATATTTGAATGAACTTCACACAAACACACACACACTGTCATTGTGCAACGACAGGATTTTTAACTATAAAGAAATAATTATAGTTTCGAATTATACTTTTATAAAATAATAAACTCTCTCTAGCAGGATACTGAAATTATTATTTAAATAATTCCATAAATTTTTAATTAAGTCGCGTACAAAATTAATTTTAAAATTCTGTCATTTGTTAAATGTGTTTCGTGAAACATCGGGAAATTTTATTGAAGATTTCAACAGGAAATTCTATTATACTATTGTTATTGAATAGCCGGTACTATAAAAGTGCAAACTATAAATAAAGCGAGCAAAGGTGAAGGTTTGAAAAAAAAAAAAAAACAAACAAATTCTAGTTTTGTCGAAATTGGAATTAATTTAAACGGCAATGGGCTTGTATGAATGATTTTCATAATAGAAATCTCCATCTTTTTCAGGTAATTTCTTGTAATTTCTCACATATTTAACGCTAAAATGGTAATGTAATTACCCATTTATATTTTCCATATTAAACACATAAACATGAAAGTTTTCAATATTTAAAATTCTATTATTAGCCCATTATTTTTGTAATACATTCTAGTGTTTTTTTCCTGATAATTTCCTTCCAATTTTGAATATTATTAGTGATTAATTTTTAATGTCTAGATCTAAGATTTAGTCATAGGCTATAGGACAATATTTACTATTTAATCTGTAATACTGTACTACTGGTAGATCAATCAAAACATCATCCTTATACGCTATAGGTCTACTACAACTCGTTATTACTCATTATTAGCATTTACAATTTTTTATAAAACCCATCCTTGCCCTCAAAATTAAGCATTTTATCATTTTATAATAGTTAAAAATATAAAAAAAAAAATTTAAAATGCAATATTATAACAGATGGTGCCACTGAATGTTGTTGGGAAACTCGTTGCTGGATTTTTCAACAAGTAATCGATTTTGTAATTGTGTGAGAATTAAATTCATTTTATGAAACACTTTCACATTCAGCTGTGCTCATTGGCAAATGTTTGAACACCTGTTTTTAGCTTTTGTAGTATTTCATCATATACTTGCTGATTACAATTAAAGAGATGTTCAGAGTTCTCCGTACAAAGAACTACTGGACAAATATCAACCAGATTTAGTATAAATACCGTATGTGGTTTCAATTTTCGGAAAAAATTTACTTCAAAATTCAGCCCTTAGGGTAAATTTATTGTTGCTGTCCTTTTAATGTGCATATTACGTACAGGTACGTTGCAAATTACCGATTCATCAAACCAAACTAACATTTTCCTTTTAAAACATTTTACGAAATATCACTAAATTTAAAATTCTCGTCCCCGGAATCCCATTTTCCTACTGTAGCTTCCCCTCTACTTACAAATAAGGGAATACCCCTGTTCCTATTTCTTGGTCCTGTATATCGTCATATTCACAAAAAATGATGCTATGTCACTGTTTCGGAACTCTTTTTATACACTAAATTTGTTAGAAAACGTACATAATATACACATTAAGGGGATAACAGTTTCAAATTTCGCTCCAGCGACTCAATTGTAAAATAAATTTTTTTCCTGAAAATCGAAAATGCATACTCAAGACAGTATGTATATCAAATTTGGTTGAGGTTTACCCAATAGTTCTTTGTACAGAGAGCTCTGAACACCCGCTCTTTAATTACGATCATCCTGTACTTCGATTAAGATTTACGAGAAGAATCTTCCATTATTTTTTTCTGTTGTTTAGAGTAAAATTGTGTTATAATTGAAGTACTTGGGTGCAAAAGGGAATAAAACATACAAGACAGCAAGATGGCTGACGCCCTGAAGAGAAAATGGTTTGTTTCTGATGAAAACAACAGTGATCTTGACGAAGTAAGCGATCAAAATATAAACATCTAGAGTAGAGCATAGAAAAATAAGCTACGTGGCTTCAATAATTAATTACAACTAGCGTAATAGTAGAATATACATTGAAAAATAATAGTGCCTAAGTGTTGGCCCAAAAAATAGACTTGAACTTATTTTACATTCTTCGACAAAAATAAGTATTTTCAGGAAAGTGACAAGCATAATAAAAACTACAAGAAAGATACTGTATACACATTCTCCTGAAAAAAGTTAACCTTTACGACGGAAGTTAACAAACATTTCCTGCAGAAAAAAAAGGGATTTAAAAAAACCCTAAACCATAGGAAAGCCTTGTGACTGTAAAAAAACTGCAGAGCTTCTCGTATGGGAAAAGAAGTTGAAATATTTAATTCATTCAGGGAATTAAAAACACATAATCAACAAAATAATTATTTGTTCGGCCGAATATAAGCATTTGCTAAAATACGTTCTTGCCGTAAGAAACCTAAATGCCAAATATTTTCAAGAAACCCATCCTTTAAGTACTTTGTAAAAATTGACGGTAACTGTACAAAAGTTTGTAAAACAGAATTTTTGTCAGTTCATGAAATTCATGAACTGACAAAAATTCTGTTGGTACATAAATTCTGTTGGTACAAAAATTCTGTTGGTCATAACTCAAAAAAGAAAGTATTTGTAAGCAAATTTCAAAAGACAACTGGCACACCTAAGTCAGACCAATGTGGGCGACATAATAATCACAAAAGCAAATTATCCCCGAAAGACTGCAATCAGTTCTTGATCACACGATGCTAAAATATACCAGCCATTATACGAACTTTCAACTTCATCTTTGTACAGAGATTGTACAGAGGTTTTCTATGTATCATGGTATCAAGACAAGGAAAAAAGATCCGGCACAGAAGAATATTTTACATAAAATATAGCATTGAATTTAAAATACCTAAAAGTGACATTTGGGAGACATGCGAACGTAGATATTTAGCGGTCACACACACCTACCATTGGATCGTGACTTTACCGCAATAGAAAATAAAGTATTTAAAGCAGATTCGGTGCTATAAATGATCCAAGTGTAAGCTATATTTGTAACTAAGATGAGACAATCAAACTTTTTGTATCTTGAACCTATTTTAATATTCCTCTAGTTTCTCTGTAATTCCAACCTTGCGAGTCATACAATATAGATTATATAAAGAAATAGTAAAGGGTCTTTAATATTTATGGGAAGTGTACGAGTAGGTATTCATTGGCATTTTCGAGGGTGGAGGACGTTACATGGAAGTTTAACTGTATATACTAGCAAATATTTTAAAGAGTAGACTTTTCTTAAGGGGCTCCAAATTACTCCGCTGCTTTCATTCTTTAATTTTTATAGATATATAAAGTAATATAATTTTATATTATTTATTTACAGGATTGGAAGATGAAAGCTTCATCAGTATCGTTTCTAATGCTGTTTTTAATAATAAGAAAGACTCATTCTACTATACTTTGTTCTTCTATCAATCCTGTCAACTGTAGATGTTACGAAGCGACTCTTCTGGAACCAGAAGAAGAAGTGCGTATTAGTTGCCCTGATTTTAGATCATACATAGTAGAATATACCATTAATTATGGAATGAAATTAGAATGCTTAACTCCAGAATCTCCTTACGTTCCTGCACTTTTTAAAAATATGAATACTACCGAAATCGTCAGTTTCGAATTCACTCATTGCCCACCGCCTAATATATCATTCAGTGAAGTATTGGAAGGATACACAGTGAATTCCTTAAAGTTTATCAGTAACAATAATAGCATAAAATCTGAAAGTTTTGAAAGATTGAACGATTTGCTGACTCTTATTCTCCAACGTAATTATATTCCTTTCATTTCCAAAGATCTCTTCCGACATGTAAAACAATTACAAGTCCTCCGACTTAATGATAATCGTATACAAAAATTGGATGACGAATCATTCAGTTATCTTTCAAATCTCACACATTTAGAATTAGGTGGAAATCCAATCGAAATCCTTCCCGAGAAAGTCTTTTTTAGACTTTACAATTTAAAAGTTCTTCACATATATAAAATTCAATTAAAAAACTTATCCAAAGATATTTTTAAAGATCTTTCATCGTTAAAAATACTCGACATATCAAGCAATTATCTAGAAAAACTTCCAGATTCAATATTTGATTATCTTCTTAACGTTGAACAGATAAATTTAAGAAGTAATAAATTAAAATATCTTCCAGAAAATTTATTTAGATCTACTTTAAAATTGAAAGTATTAGACTTTGGTAGAAATTATGAATTAGATGTATTGCCCGAAACTTTTTTATTTACTTCACAAAAATTAGAAAATATCGCCATGGATAACTGTAACATTAGTTCTATACCTGACAATTTCTTTTCGCACGCTAACGAATTGAAGATCATTAAAATCAATAATAATAGGATTTATTCTTTATCAAATGGCCTCTTTCAAAATAATTCAAATCTGAGGAAATTATACATGAATTATAATCGCCTAACAACTCTTCCATCTGAAATTTTCAAGAAGCAATATAGATTAGAAGCATTAGGAATTTCTAAGAATAATCTTCAATATCTTCCAAGAAATATATTCTGGGATCTTATAAATTTGAAGGTCATCAATTTATCTTATAATAATATTACATATTTGGAACCAGACATATTTAAAAATATGGTAGAATTAGAAGTATTCGATATAAGTAATAATAAATTAACTAAAATACACGAATTAGGTATTCGTAATTTAAGAAAAATTAATATTTGTAAAAATCAATTAACAGAATTTCCAAATTTTAATTGGAATGTTAATTTGGAAGAGATAAATCTTCAATACAATAATATTAAATCTTTGACCATTCCACTTGTAATTTCCCAAAGAACAATAATAAAATTGGGATGGAATAACATTTCTTACATTAATATTTCCGAATTAATTGCGATTCGTAACGATTATAATGTTCAAAAAATTGTTTTTTCACCTCCAAAATGGTTCTTTTTTCCGAATCCAATTTCTTGTGACTGCCATATTTATCGTTTTGTGTCATTTATTAACGATGTGAAAACTTCTTCCAAAGAACTGATTTTAGACGAATTTGCAGATTTTGACGATCTCGCCTGCTCGCAGCCGAAAGAATTATACGGGAAGAAACTATTTAAACTTGATTTCGATGAATTTAAATGTAGAATAACCGAAAATTGTCCTTCATATTGTAATTGTACGATAACTGAAGATGGTAAAATATCGGTAAACTGCAGCAATCAAAGATTAAAAAGGTTTCCAGACATTGCACCCTTGAATGCTACAATACTTGATCTATCCGGCAACAATCTTACTAGTTTGAATGATTTAAGAAAGACAATTTGGCAAAATGTCACAGAAGTCCGTTTAAATAACAATAATATAAATGTTTTCGAAGATTGGAATTATTTGAGTAACTTAAAAAAATTGTCTCTGGACCATAACTCGTTGAGAGTTTTGCCATATAATTTTATGGATTATGTAGAAAATCAACCTGAATTTGAAATTTCTTTAGGAAACAATCCATGGCAATGTGATTGCAAAACTATCCATTTGAAAACATGGCTTAATAAAAATTATAATAAAATCAATGATATTAATAAAGTTTATTGTAAAAATAAAAGAGATAAAAATGGGACAATGAACTTGATCAGAGTACCAAATGACATTATTTGTCCATCGGATAACTGGCAGAATAAAAATCAGTTGACCATTTTAATTGTCATTACAACAGTAATAACATTGTTAATATTTATCATATTGATTCTTTTTTATAAAAATAGGAATACTGTAATAGCTTGCCTTTTATTTTCATTTTAATTTTATTTTCTTTTGTCATACAATAAAGGCAAATTGAAGATAAACCATTTGATACCAGTAAGAGTTGTATATAATGAAATCAGTACGGGTTAAAAGTATGTAGTAGATTTTAATTTATTAAACATATATATACAGTATATATGTTGTATAATAAATAAATTAATACATGTATATATGTATCATGTATTATATACAGGACTTCTACGCGGTTGCTTTTAATTCTCTGTTATCTAGATGCAAACATCACATTTGTGTTGTGTTCATATATGTTTGACTGTAATGATTTTACATGTGTATGTCTGTAATGCTTATAAAAAAAAATAAACAGTGATCTACACTTAAAGTTTATAGTTTTATTTTTTTGTAAATTTGTTTGTGTTATGTTTGTATCCATATATGCATGTTTAGATAATTTATGTATAAAAGTAAGATAAGGAGGAAAAGAATTGGCTCAAAACTTAATTTTAAAGTCAAGTGAGAAAATAAATTTATCCTTTAAGATCTGTCAGAATACAGATAGATATTATGCTTCAAAATTCAAAAGTATACCTGAAAGAAAAGAGTTAGTTGATAAATCAACTCTTATAATGAATATTATGTTATTTGCTCAATTTATATTCTTTTAATATAAAAGAATTAAAAGTGGAACCTGGTTTTAACGGACAAAACCTTCAGTCGCGTCTGATTAGTATTTTTTTTAAACCCGGATTAAGCGGACAAAAGAGAAAAATTTCCTCTTGTCAAGTCCCCAAAACCTCCGTTAAGCGTAATTCCGTACAAACTAGTTTGTGTCGCATTCATTAGCATAACGATAGAACGTAGAATAGACCCCCCTCCGGTCAGAAACACTAAATTTATCGAAGTTCAAAGGATACAATATAAATAGCGCGAAAAGCCAGAAGGAAAAGTGGATTTCCCAATAAGTGGGAAATCCATTGAAAATCTATGGAATTCCCGTTGTATCCAGAAAGTCTTTGTGGTGTCTGAAAACACCAAAAAAACTTTTGAATAATTATATTTTACGTCAAATAATGAGAATATTCTATGGTTACAATAAAATAAGTCATAAGTGGAGTTAGTGTATGTGATTTTTGTACTTATAAGTTAAGTTACTGTATAAGTACCGCAATTGAATGAAAGTTTCACGTAAGTATTTACATGTTGCTATATATTTTTTAAGCTTAGATAACAAGTTTAACTTTAAAAAAAAAATTAATATTTGTTTCAACTGTTAATATTTATAAAATATTATAACAAATATGTAAACTTAGGTGATTTATACATAGGAAAAAAAACACTGCTCACGGACAAAATTAGATTCCTCAAAAAGTGCTTCAAATAAAACACGAAATTAAATTTTATTTTAATTTTTGAAAGTAGTAAATTGTATATTATTAAGTTAACTTTATCTATATGCGTCCTACCAACTAAAAAAAAAAAAAATTATGCCAGTGGTCGTGTAGTTGTTTGCTGAGAGGACGTAGTCTGCATAGCAATTACTCGGTGGTTATAACGTTGTTTATTTAATTCTGTCAAGAGCAAAAGCATCTCGGAGCTCCTGGAGTGTTGTTGGCACAAGGTGACAGAAAACATTCGTCAATGACTCTTTGATATTTAAGATATTTGTCGCATGAATTGTCCAGCAAGATCTCCGTCTCGTACACCGTACGATATGCTCTAAGGAGATGCATCCCTCTATCAATAATATTCCAAGGAGTTCAATAATGGAATTTCTCGACGTGGTTGATAAACGTTATAAACACTATGAGCAATTGCTGAGAATCCTGTGCGTATGCAGGAAACAACCACGCTCCATATTAACCATTTTCTGTGAAAAATTACGACAATGCTTAACACTTTTCTTGTTATTTTTTGGTTTGACACGATTCAGATTAACTTTTTGTTTTTTCGATTGTATTTTTATGCAATAAAACAATGCTCTGTTAAATATGTTAAGCGTCAGGCTGTTCTGATCAATAGTTTGGGGTATAGGACAAATTAATGGTTATGCTTATTTTTTGAACATGAGTGTAGTGATAAGACTACAATTAGTGAAAATTCCGGTTTTATCGGCATTAACTATACTAAATTTTGTGAAAAAATTCGACTAGAATTCGAAAAATTGAATATTTAAAAATAAATTTCATATCTATCTACCGATAAGACAAACTTTCACTGAAGTAATTAAGCGAAAATCTTGAAAGAAAAGCAGTATGCACCGGCTAATCGTAATTAAAATATCATATTTAACGCCGTTAGAGATATTTAGCAATTTAAATGTGGTATGGTAACGTTTCAGAACGTGCGGAACATATTTTCGTAAAAAAGTTAGTACTAAAACTCAACACTAAGGCATTTTATTGTGCTGAAAGCAACATTTTATTTGTACAAGGCACTCGTGTACGCAGAGATCCAAGGATTACTGCTCAATGTGGTCCCTATTCTGGGATGGCGATGGACGGTGTGTTCATCGACTAAATGATTATCTATGATACTGTCTTCTCATCTCGCATCCTCTTTCTCATGTCCTAAAATGTCACTAAGCCATATTTGGTTGTATTTGAACAGCTAAATATCTTTCTAAATAGCATTTTGAATAAGGGTATTTTAATTACGATCACTCGGTATATACAAGACAAAATAAGAAAAGGAATGAGAAAATTAGACAAAAATAAAAAAAAAACGATTAACATACAGACGAGAGAATAGCTGGAGCTTAAAATTAGCAATCAATTATCAACTCATAGATAACAGAGCCTTATGTAATCGTGTCATTTCAGAAGCAATGAATCATCTCATTTGGTCACAGGTTGTATTGCGAGTTGCATAATGTGTTATACACTCGGCTCGGCATAAGTGCATTTAAAACATACAAAACGGACTTGTCATTACATATTAAACTAATCGTAAAGAAAATAAAAGTGTTTTGTAAGTAAATATATAAAAATGAATGCTATTTCTGCTAATATATTTTATGTTTCGTATAATTGCGCAACCTTTTAATAGGGAAATAAATCGCATAATTTTATTTCGTCATCATTTTTCCGTTTCTTAACGACTTCTCAGAATAAATAATAATAATAATAATTCAATAAACGATTTTTTTTTCAAACTGGTCTATATATATATTAAAATTTACCTGTTTATATTTGAATGAACTTCACACAAACACACACACACTGTCATTGTGCAACGACAGGATTTTTAACTATAAAGAAATAATTATAGTTTCGAATTATACTTTTATAAAATAATAAACTCTCTCTAGCNATATTAAATCTTAATGTTTTTCTTAATACACAAGTAATACAATTGAATAAAAATATTCTTAATGTCTCATAAATGCGAATTGGGCAAATAACTCTGTGATAGACTATTTTAAGAAATAATAATTTTTTTAAAACCTATTTGTAAGTATATTCTTTCGGGAAACCGCACTCAACAAAATGACATTTGTTTAATTTGGGAAATGCATTTCGGGTTTACTTTTCAGTGTTTTCAGTGTACATACAGTTCTGGACCACTTTAGCGAGATGACCAAAAACCATATGTTTTTTAAAAGAAAATGCTAAAAACCATCCATTTCTGAGTAGAAAGAGCAATTTCCTGTATATTCTTCTTATTCTGTATATCAAAAACATGCAATAGATATTCTTTGAGCTCACGAAGATTAAAACAAACTCAATTTTTGGGAAGATTAAAAATGAGACTAATTGAAGATTATCTGTTAATATGTTTATGATATATTCTAGCTAATAATGAAATAATTAGTGTCATTCCATGCCAAGTGATCAAAGTCTCCAGCTCGACTCAGATTTCAATGAAATTTGGCACAAATGTAGCTAAGGACATTAAACTAAACCATGCAAAATATTAGCCCCGTATGGTTCTTTGAGATATAAGCCTAAATGTAAAGATACTTCGTGCCGTGAACAGTGGTTAAAAAGTAAACTTTGTTGGCCAATGGTTCATTGACTAAGGCAGCATTAATTACAGCATGAAACTTGATAGGATAAGAGTTTCAAGTGGACAATTCAGATAAGCTAACAGAAGCTTCTAACAAAATGTAGTGTATTCACATATCTTCACCAAAGTTTGAATAAAATTCATTCTCATAAAACAGAAATCACAATATTTCAAGCTTACAGCTGTTATAGATTTAGAAATATGCCCACTGAAAATGCAGGAAACTTTTGAGATCCAATTTTTACCAACATTTAGAGGCAAATAGCATCATATGGGTTATCTTAACTTTTTTCTTTTTTTGCTGCATTAGAAAGAGCATTCTTTTACATTTTCTGCCCGACTATGCTAAGAGCAAAAATGTAGCATTAAACCTAGTAATGTCTTGATTGTGCAGAGCAAAAGCCACTTTGATAACTAATAACTTTAGAACTATACGAGAGTACGGAATGCAACTTGTCCTGTTAACTCACCAGCTAGTTGTCATTATGTAATTAAATTAAAATATCGCGAATGTGCATGCTTGCTGAGCTACGCTCACTCAAATATTAAAAAAAACTTGGCAAGGATTTTGATTATTTTTCAAAAAGTTTGATTTTTAAAGTTTATGATAAAATATGCATGGTTTGCATGGAAACTAATTATACAATGAAACATATCTAACAACATAAACAGACATGTTTGCCGCCCATTCAAGAAATGAGATTATTCAAACGTTATGTTTTTACATGTTCTAATGATATATATCATCCAACAACTTGTAAGTCATCATAATAAATAGTCTACATTTAAAAATTAAATGCGGTAAATATGTCACCTCTGTCCAATTATTTCTATAAGTATTTTATTAAATATGTAAATGCAAAAATTACGTTTATAACACTGACTTCAAAAAGTCCTTCTACCCATCAAGCCTTGGTTCCAACTCTCCCTCCTCATATCGGATCCAAATAGATGTGATCCCGATATGCAGACAAATTCCCCCACACATTTTAGTGGTCCAGTTTCAGGATATTATTGAAAGGAAATGGCCTTTCTGGCTCCTAGTTGGAACTGACGCTACGAAATCACCGATCTCTGTAGCAAATGTATTCGAAGTCCTGTAAGTTGACTTCTTGAGCGTTTATAAGCGAAGGCATTGGCAATCCTCAGGGTACTCTCCAGTTGGGAGGAAGCCATTGCCTCCCAACGGTCATTATTACTGACAGTAGGTCAGTACTCTCCGCTCTATTCAAAGTTTCTCCTTCATCTCTTCCTCTCTTAATTGATATTGCTACTCAGATGCATCTTCAATTGTTTTACTTTGGACACCAGGACATTTAGTCCAATGAAGTAACGGACAAAGCAGTCAGCTGCGGCAATCATACCAGCTCACTAAAACTCTCATGACCTCTCACAACATATATACTGTGAAAGACGTCAGGACCTTCTTAACACCAACTATTCTTCACAACAAAGGCAGGGAAAACATACGACCCTTTCAACACTAGGCCTACAAAATTGCCATCTTCTCACGGAAACTGCTCCATTGCTATACTTTTACAATCCTATTCGCTATGCTCTTCTTCTTCTTGCCCTCACTGCAGTGATATTGAATCAACCAAACACTTCTGGTGCATCTGACCATATTACGAGAAGGCACGTCTTGAACTCTTCACAATAACCTCAGTCTGATTTCTCCACGTAAATTTAAATAGGTAAAGTAATAAAAATAGAAAAAATCAATGTCGGAATGCTCCAACAATAATTACATCATACTGACTGCGGAAGCCCACGAGTCGAATCGTAACAATTAGCAGATAGGACCAGGATTTCGTGAGGTATCCTTACGCTTAAAAGTTTCCTCTGTTGCCTACATTGATTGGAAAGCTAGGTTCTTCTCGACCACTAGCCACACCGATATAGAAGTGTAGCAAGACGTTCATGGCATCTAGAAAAGAAATCTGTTTAATCAAATTCAAAAACTTTTCACTAATAACAAAGAACTTAACGAACCCGATAATCCGGTTTTTCTACCTTTCTCAAATTATTTTTATTTAAACAAATATTTTTTCAAAACCACCAAAAACCTCTTGGAAGCAAACAAGTTAATTAATATTCACTTTTTATTTATATTGTGTCGCGTTTTCTATTTCTATACTACTTATGACTTAGCGGTCACATAAGATGGAAATTTTATTGTATTCACATTTAAAATTTTTTTAGCCGTTCAACTCGGTTCGTCCAAGATTAAATCCCGAATGGCGCTACTCGTTATACTTTCAAGACCTAGCTATAAAAAGGTGACGGTCAGATATGCCGAGACGGTTAAGGCTTTAGTCTGTATCTCTATGGTCGAATTCGGGCAATCGAGAAACCAGAAGAACTTTAGGTGTAAGTCTGTACTTGATATGTGACCACTTGATATGTGTCTTGTCCTTTACCACTCGGCCGCTCCCATTGTGGACCTAACAGAACTGATGACGAATAATGTTTTGAAAGATCTCTTAGTGCCCTCAGAGCAAAAAAGTCTAATAAAAAAAAAATACCGACTGTCATATTGCGAGTGTGGCACAATATACGTGAGCATGAAGATGCTCGTGGAGTTTTCTGGGTTTCCTCCGTGTAACATCTAAATAAGGGCCAGTTTTCCAGGAGGCATTCCCGCTTGGCAGATCGCCCATGTGTCGTGTTGTTGTAATCGAATAAAACCAAACCGTAATCATCATTGGAGAGGGGCAATCTTCTCCTTCCACATTCCCTAAATTATTTAGGTTGTCTACCGAAGAAGTCAATTAAGAAATCATACACAGCCTTACCTTTACTTATGATAAAGGGATGTTAGTGTAACTACTTTACATTGATAATGCTGTAAAAGGATAACACACATGAAAAAAATTACATTTATTTTCACTTTTATACAGGTAAAGTTGTATGTTAACTTTATTTTAATTTCAATTTTATATATCAGTTGATTCACAAAGTTGATTCATCCAGTGGTCACTAACGTTATTTTAAAAAATAGTCAGAGAGATGGAATAAAGGTCCCAGGAGGGGCAGAAGGCCCGAAATGCATTTCCTGGTGCAGTAAAGTTGGAATAGTAAATTACTGGCATGTTCCTTGTGCGATTTTTTTTTCTCTCCAGAGAAATTTATGCTTATAACTAAAGAACCACATATTTCTATTTTCATATAAAATTTCACAATTATATATCTGCAAAGACATGGGGTGGAAGAGTTTATTAGATTAAACAATAACTAAATACGTCGTCATAAATATGCTCTTTCCAAAATCATAAGAAGAAATTCATTCAAATTTTATAAAAAAATAAATTTATTACTTTAAATAAATTATTAATTCTTGCTGTCTTCGTTAACATTAAAATAATTAAAACTTCTTCAGACATTGCAAGAGTAAATCTCTCAATCTGGTCCTAATTGTAGAATCTCCTTGACAAATAATATGAGTGGAGTGATCTTCCACTTGAATTAATGTATCTTCGTGTTGCTGTCCAGTAAATTGTTAAATTATAATTATTAGAATACTTTTATATCAAAATTTAAGTTAAAAGTTATAAAATTTATATTATACAGTGACAAATAAAAGTATTAAATATTTCTCAATATGAGAAAACTAGAGATGTAATTGTCAGATAGTCCCAAAATTTTTTAACCTTTCTAATTTTAGTTTCTAACAAAGAGATTTTCATTGTAATATTAATTTATCTATTATCTACTTTCATGTTTACCTCTTTCATAAGCAGACAAATAGAGAAAGAAACCTTGTTTTCTCCACTGGACTACACTTAAAATATGAATATGAAACATGCCAGGAAATATATACAAGAAATACACTTGATTCACACTAAAACAAGACAAAACTTTAAAATTCAATCGGCATTTTCATTAATTTTATTACTTAATATCGTTGGGGTTAATGTAATGTTAAAAACCTTGTTTCATAATTTTGAATTTAAAATGATCTGATGTTCTAAATGTTAATGATGATGATTCTAATTATGGCAACTCACATGCAGTTTCAAATGTTGCTGGGAAAGTTAAGCAACTCGTTGCTGGATTTTTATACAAATGAAATGACTTACTGATGATTTTATAATATTCTGAAGGCAGGTTTACAACAACTGATAAGAAAGTTATTTCTTTGGTGTTGGTCTTTCCAGGAAGTTGAAGATAATTTTTAATTTGGCAATTACATCACAGACCTATATGGAAATATGATTCGTAATAAATAAATATATTGCATTGATGCAAAAGTTTCTGAAATTTTCTAGACCTCTCTAGGATATTCAAAATTGTTCTTTGACAGATTGGACAGATGGCATCTAGAAGTTTGTTGTGGAGTATATAAATTCCATTCTATTTGGCAATACCAACTTTTTAAATGTCAAGTTTTCCAATACTTTCTTGTGACCAAATTCACACATGTACTTTACCAATTTGATATAAAAATAACTGAATATTATCACTGCTTGGTGCAATCATTTGGCAAGAATGTCTTCTCCAATCTACAACTGGTTCAGTAAATTTAAACGCAAGCAATATAAAGTCAAAGATAAGCCATGCTCTGGAAAGACTTCCATCCTATTGGATGACAGGCTGTGGCAACCAACCAAGAGAAATGAGCAAGATACTTTTTTGTGACAGTCACCATAGTTTGTCCACAGATGAACACTGTATGCTTTCTTCATGACAATGCAAGAACACACATATCAAGCTGAGACCAAGCAGACGCTGCTTGATCTCAGCTTGGAGGTTTTCCCTCATCCCATTGTATAGCACAGATGTTGCATCATCCAATCACCATCTCTTCCACTCCATGCAACACTTTTTGGATTGAAAGCAGTTTGCTGATGATGACGAGATGAAAATTGCACTTGCAGAATTCTAAAATTCAAAACAGCCCAAGTTTTATTCAGCAAGAATCCGTGAATCTGTCAATCAATGGACGATGGTAGTTCAACTTAATGGCAATAATTTTTTTTTTTTTTAAATAAATATTGTGCAATGAGACTCTAGAAAATTCCAAAAACTTCTGCAACAATGCAATATTTTAGATGATGCAGATTATTCGCTGTTGGATAAAGTTCCCATGTAAGCTTGTTTGAACACACAGCCGTCAAATTAATAAATTAAGTCCATATTACAAATATTTTCTAAAAATTCTAGTTTTACACATTTTAATAAATGAAGAATTTGGTTTGTTGAAATTTTTTTTATCAGTCTATATAACTGGATAACTATTACAAAATGCAAAGAACTAATTCATGTCTAATAAAACCTTTATTTTCTCTAATTAATTAAATCATAATTATGAAAGTCTAGTTATAAGAAAAAAAAATGTATTGTATTACTCACCATATGAACAATATAGCCATTAGGACTTTCTTCAAGTTTTACATCTGCAAATCCAGCCTAAAGAAACAATTCATATAAATGAGAAATCATTATTTTAGCATTGTCCAATGAATAATTGTAGTAAGAAATATTACAATCAAACTGTGTTGCTTTTACCTCATTTGATAACTCAAAATGACGTCAAAACAATCTCAAGCCTTTTACAACAGGTAGACTCACACAAACACCAAATATCTGGACATAAAATGTGATATTTAGTTTAATCCATCTGTCAAAAATAGCCCGAGATAATTTTGAGTCATCAAATGAGGTGAAAGTACCATCATAGGAGGCATTGTGGGTGGTTGCAATAGATGGCTTGCAGCAATGTTTCTGGAAGCTGTAAAAATGCTAGCAGAAGTGTATTTTTGATCTTGGGGATAACTTCAAAGGTGGCTGCACATTGACATTAACAACTATCCAAGACAAGGAACTATTTGGTCATATCATGTACTGTACATTTAAAAGTTTATACAAAACCAAACATTTCTATTTTAAGAAAAAAACTAAACATGTACATAGAAATAAGTTATGTAATCCTGTAAGAAATATCATTCATAACCTTTGAGAAATATCTACTTAGTAGTTAAGTACAGTGAAAGGCAATATAAGAGATTCTGACAATTGCTAAAATTATTATTCATTACAATGAATTTTGTTATACTGAACAAACCATAATATATGTAAATATTTTTCAAAGTTTTACTTGATTATTCATTCAAATGCCAATAAAAAAATTTATTAATTTCTCTTATTAATTAAATAGTGATTCAATTTAGAAAAAATTATTAACTAATTTGAAATAATACAGACAATTTAAGTAATCATTATTATCTAAAAAAGTTTTCATAACTTAAAACAAGGTGGCATTTCAAAGAAAATACGGTTATTGAAAAAGTGAATATAATATCAAAAGTTGTTTCTCGTAAGATGAAAGAATGATATGCATTATCTATAGACATTATTAATTACTATTTATTAATGATTATATTACAATTTCATTACTTAACCACCCAAAACTGAAATTTACATAGTCAGCATTCACTGTTATCAAAGAATATAAGTTCTTTCTAGTCAAGGCTCAACATTTTTTCCTCTTTTGATAAACATGTAGTTACCATATTAAAATAAATTTTATTGAAAATACTGTATAAATCCATTATTCAAATATAAATTTATTGAATTAATATATGTATCTACTCTTTATACATAAAATTCTCAGCTTAAAATCATCACAACACTTTTCTGGTCATGGGGGGAAAATAGAAATGGCAACACCAGGGATTAATGAATCAACACAAAACTTATTATGAATAGGTTATGTTAGGAACAAATAAGTAAAATCCATGGAGTGAGCAAGCAGTGAATTGAGCTAAGCAGGAGAGAGAGCAAAGAGAGGGTTGGACAAAGCAAGAGGCACTCAACTCCATGAATGTTGAGTGAAAGAAGCAAAATGAATGAGTAGGGTAGGACCACTGTTTGCTTGATCACCCTATGGACTTCAAAAAGTTTTGAAAAAATGAGTGAAGTACTTGTATATGTATTTTAAAAAAAGATTTTTTAAATAAAAATTTAAAAATATATTTGTAAACTGTAATGAAGAAAGTAAAATGAAAAATTTTAATATCATATGAAAACATTTAGATAATTTCCTATAATTTACCTTTGTTAATTTTTGGGAAAAATGAGGCACATCTAATGTTCCCCAGGCATAATTGGAAGGATAGCCATATTCTTCTTCATTTTTCCTTTTTTTAGATTGATTTGATTGTATCAAAGGCTAAAATTATATTTAATAATACAATAATAAGAATGTTAAAGTAGTATCATAATTAATATTAAAATAAGCTAATTTATTTCATTTATATTTTCTAGAAAATATTAATAAACTATTCTTACCTTTAAAATATATTTATTATTTTTAACAGTTAATAAACCTGTTACGGTCATCATGGCAACACCTGGTTTTACTTCAGTTGGCATCAAAGAAGCTGCTAACTAAAACATTTAATATAATCGTTATTCACATATAATTAATAATATACGTCATAATATAAAATATATTATTCATCAAAAATATATAAATCATAAATAGTAGTAAAACTATTATTGGAATGTCATATTCCTTGATTATTGTACCTTATCTATTAACAAAAATTATATACAGTAATACCCCGACTTACGCGAACCCGGAGTTACGCGATTTTCAAATCTTGTCGATTCGTCTTTTGTTTGAGCGCCACGCAACCCTTGATTACTCACTCCCCCACACTATTGTTCAGCTTACATGTTCGGATGTGTCGCGCGGAATCCACACATAGCTACAATTTATTTTGTGTTATTTATTTCTGTGTTTGTTTTATCTACGGAGACTCGAGAGACTCTACTATGTCATCCAAACGAAGTAGAACTAATTCTTCTGCATCAAACAAGAAAAGAAAAACTTTATCTTTGGAATGTAAAGTTAACATTGGTTATGTTCGTAAAGTCGAACGAGTTAAGCGAGAATGAAGTCATCATTATTCCTATTTCGTTAGACTTTTCGAACAATTCGTTACTAACGCGTTTAACTCATTCGACTTTACGAATGTACCGATTATTAAACACTTCGATACAAAAATGAAAATTTGTGAATTGGCAAANCTTTAAGTTACGCCGTTACGAAGATATTAATTACACTTAGAAAATTATTTACCAGTCTAAAAATAGGTGGTGGGTCTAAAGGTGAAAAGTAACCTATAAAAAAACATGGCAGTTGGTTTCACTTATGGACTGGGCGACGATAAGGACGTTTAATTAATTAAGATTAGATGAAGATAAAGGTGGCAACGTACAGGATCTATTCCCGTGTTTTACTGGTTCAAAAAACACACTACGGAATCGAAGTTCCTCGACCGCGCGTGCAGCAGGTACAGTATCGCTTTAAACAGAGACCCGTTCCCATTGTAAGAAAGCGGATTCAAAAAAGCTCGTTCTCTACCCCATTTTTAGGGTTCCGGCAGGGGGAAGCTCACAATAAGGATCCAGGAACCGGGCGGTTTGCGCCGGTCCTTAAAGTGTAACAGCTGCGATGGGATGTGGCATCGCAACTGTAACGACGAGGCACGACCGTGAGGAAATGTATAATGCGATAACAATACATTATTATTATTATTATTTATTATTATTTACGCATTGTTAGATGAGTTAACCGGTTTTTTTAACGTTCGTTTTTCCAGAAAAACGAAGTTACCAAGGCAAAATCAATTTTCTAACGTCCCCGTTCTTTGTGTAACAGAAATCCAAGCCGACGTATGGAATTTCAAACATAATTAAGTTTAGTGCTTCTTTTTAGAATTTAAGTTACGTTTGAAATTGTAAAAAAGGGCACTCAACTTAATTAAATTTGCTTAAGAGTTAAACAAAGGTGTTCTGTCACGAATCTTGTAAAAAAAAAAAAAAAAAAAAAAGCTTATGTAAACTGTAAGGGGAAAAAAAAGCAAAGATGATATCATTTTTGGCTAATAAACCATCGTTAGATGTCCAGAATTATAAGATCGAAATATTAAAATAAAACAAGTTTCATTCATCAAGAATTAGTTAAATATGCATTTATATAAATTATAATACTAGCAGATAAGTCCAGCATTGCTCAGGCAAAAAGTAACGATAGCGAAGATTAAGATTATTACATTATAGCCAATCTTACCCATTTTCTCAGAATGCAAGAATTAGATTGCCCTGTTTCCAGACTAATTAGAAAATTTTTAGATGGGTCTAAAAATATGTTTGATTTCTCGCAAAAACACAAAAAACCACATCTGCGCATGTAAATCTTGCATCTCACTTTCTCTTAACACTTCAATTGTTACTTAACCACTTCCATTGTTAACAACCTCTCTCTGCGGGGGGAATTTTGAAAAATCCCTTCTTAGTGTAAGTTCTCATGACGTACCCTAACTGTGTACCAAATTTCAACCTTAAACTCCTAACTGTTTGGGCTCTGCACTTCCGATTATTATTCAAAGTGGCTATTTCAAAGGGCAATTATGGCAACTAAAAATAATATTGTCAATGATATCAACTTTAATATTCAAAAGAAAATTCCCGATAATATTCAAAAGAAAATTCAGAACTCGCAAGAGCTCCTCATTTTTTAAGTATGGGCATTGTATAAAATATAAATCAAATCAACTTTTTATTAACAAATACACTAAGTACACTTTACACAGTTTTCACACTTTATTTTCCATTTATATTCAATAACTGTATCACTTTGACTACTCACACTTCACTGTTTGTTTTTATTCACTCACTGCACTATTTTGGAATTTTCACTTCTTTTTCAGTTCTTCCCTTCGTCACTAATAAGAAACTGAAGTTCAAATCCATGACGGATCTTGCTCTATATACCCCACCAATGGGTAGTCCACCCATACAAAAAAGGCTTTGAATGGTCCACAATGTTCCAGAATATTCCACAACATTCAAGAGTGTTCTGGAACGTCCAGGATGTTCCCGAACGTTCCAGAACATCCCGGAACATTCTGAAATGCTCTCAAATGTTCTGGACTGTTCTAGAAATTTCTAGAAGATGAAACTTCCAGCCCTTATATCTTTAACAAGCAGCTGTTTTTACCCTTCAGGTAAAAAAAAAACAGGAACCTTCTTCCTGTTTTTACCTGATGGGAGATAGAGGGCTACCACACCATATAATTCCCTTGATCGTACTGGGACTCGTTTTTGAGTTTTAGCGGCATGCACATTGTAGCGGCATGTTGTACACTTACCTTTATAATATATATATTGATGATGATGATGATTGATATTGATTATTATTAAAAATGAATTAAATACTATTTTCTTCCACATTATAACAATTTAAATTTAACATTGAGATAATTTAAATGAATTTTGACTTTTACCTCGGCATCCATATACAATCTCTCATAGCGTCTTTTAATTGGAATCTGCAAGACGTCGCCTCTTTTATATGATATTATAGGAAATTCCTAAAAATAAATTTACAATTCTTTGCATAAAATCATAAAACTTTCCATAAATATATTCTTTTATAACTTACTCTTTCCAAAGCTAAATCTGTCCTATGATGTTGTAGAGGCGGAGGAACAATGTACTGTTCAGGGACAATTAAATGAGTCGGTTTCAAGTCTCTGATTAATTTATTTGCTTGATTAAAACTTAAACTTGTATCAATTGGATAATGTGCGACCTAATATTAATGCAAAATTAAATAATTTCATCAATAAACTAGAAATATATGTATAAATATAAATAAAGTAATTGAAAACTAAAAATTAAATATTCAGAATATAATTACTTTCATAGATAATGGTTGAAAAGGGGCTACAGCTTCCAAATATGGAAAATCTGGTTCTGTTGATTTAACACAAATATATTAATAAGCATTCGATTTTTAATCTCTAATTATAATCTTTTAATTAATTAATCAGTTCAAATGTAGAAGTATTTTAATGTGATAAATTTTATTTAAATCAGTGTATGTGTTTGTTAAAATTTCAGAAGGAAACTTTGATTTTATTTAATTCAAACAAATTTGATTTTATTTAATTCAAACAACATTCAAACATTTGATTAACTCATATTAATATTATAACAGACATTTTATATTACAATTTCTGTTGTATTCTTTAGTTACTATTATTGAAAATAGTATGCTTATTTATTTAAATTAAGAATTATAATTAGTTAATAAAACAAAATAATATGATTCAAAAAACAAGAAAATATATTATTTTTAATTATAATTATTAATCTTCAATATCTGAATTACTGTCATTTAGGTGATATTGAATACTATATTTACATTACACTGATTTTATCATGTAAAAAGTCAATGTGCTAATTATGTACCAATTAACTTATTACTTATTTATTACCTGTAAATACAACAATATTATTAGAAGAGCCACCCCATAATTCCATAAAATGAACTGCATCTCCAAATCTTAAAGATGGATGACCGGCAAAAACAATGCAAGGAGTTCGAAATTCAGTACTAAAATTTTCAACTAAAAAAAAAAATTTATTAACATTTCAACTTCATATATAGAATATAAATATAACTTTTTATACACAACAAATAACAAGTAATTTTTAACATAACGTAATTAACCAGATAATTATATGAATTATATAATGTAATATAAAACATTTAAGAATTTTATACGTTAATATTACATAATAAATATAACCATATAATTTTTTAACATCTTACTGTGTTAATTATTTATATAAATAAATAAATTTGTGTAAATTAATCTTTTGAAAATAATTCAATAAATTGTTTTTTAAAATACTGATCGGACATAAAACATTTTACAGAATATATATAATACATTAACAATATATAAATCAAGTATATAACCAAAATATAAGTATGCAATATGTACTAAAATACAACTAAGATAAATATGTACATATGGCCAGGTAGTTGAGATTTTAAAGACACAAGCGTGCCTGCATCCTGGATTAGCTCAAATTTTTGGAATGAGTTGCTTGGACATGATCAACTCCATCCTCCGTCATCTGGTCAGACCCATTATGGGATGACCGAACCCATGATGAGTATTAAAAAAACTCTTAGTGTGCATAAAACAAAAAATAAATGAACTAATATGCATGCATACATTGTATATATAAAAACCACTAAAAAAATCTGACTATAATTTTGACACACTAACAAAAATTAAATCTATAAGTATATTAAACAACCTTACCACCACCCAATATATATATACAGTAGAACCTCGATTATCCGGACTAATTGGGGATGAAGGTAGTCCGGATAAGGAAAAATCCGGATAATCGAAACAAATACTTTAATTTGTCTTTTAAAGATAATACAACACGTTTTCTTTTCGATGACATATCGGTAATATTAAAAGTAAATACTGTATTTAAACCGTGATCAAATTTTCAAGAAACAAACGTTCGTATTGAATTTGAACCTCTACTGACTAACACTAACAGACTACCTATTGTTTAAAAGGTCCTCTGGTGGCGCAAGAAGACGGATTTTATAAAATAAAAAGCAGTTGAAACTGCATTTTTATGAATAAAAATTTGACAAACTATTTATCGTTTCATGACGAGTAAAATTTTTTAGTCGCGTTCGCGGCTTTTAAGTAATGCATAAACCTTCGAGGCGCGAGGCCCTTCAGACGCGAGGCATAGGCGGTGGCTCACGTCGTCCATGCCTTACGCCGCCCTTGGTCATAGAAATGATGCAATTTGAATATAAATTATACGAATGTCAAGTTATATTTTTATTACTACGTAAAATATATTTAAGAGTTTATGACCACTGTGCTGGGTGAGACGTTGTTGAAACAAATAAAGTTATGCATTCCATCACGTACATAAACAGTATCGTAATTTGCCAAGTGCAAATCGGCAAATTCGTAAAATTTTTGTTTATTTTGAACAATCCGGATAATCGAAAATCCGGATAATGGAGGTCCGGATAATGGAGGTTCTACTGTATATACTGTATATATATTAAATAATAGAACCATCTGAAGAAAAGAACTGGTCTGGGGCAGATCTGAACCCACAATCTCCACTTGCTGTGGAGTGTGCTTGAAAGTTGCACCACCCAGATAATCGAAAATCCGGATAATGGAGGTCCGGATAATGGAGGTTCTACTGTATATACTGTATGTATATTAAATAATAGAACCATCTGAAGAAAAGAACTGGCCTGGGGCATATCTGAACCCACAATCTGCACCTGCTGTGGAGTGTGCTTGAAAGTTGCACCACCCAGACCCTGAGCAAGCCTTTGCTTCCAGATGATTCTAAATTATTTATAATTTAAATAATTTATTAAATAACTTAAATAAGAGATGGCGCCAAACTTCTCTCTCTAGTAGCAAATTATTTATTATTAATTATTAAAAACAGCGGATTTATAGCCAGAGTACTTAAGGCGATCGTTTGGCTATGTTTATAAAAATTAATATGAAATCACTTTAACATATACTACAAGAATTTAAAACTGATTTTATAATCATTTGGTTACTTTTTTACACTTACCACAAATACTTGGAAAATGCTTTAGTCTCCCATTTCGAATTAACTGAGCATGAGGAAATGGCTCTTCTGGTAAATATACTTTAGACTGTTTACTTTGAGAGAGCCTAAAAATGTAATTTATATGCAATATTTGAGATTATTATTTAAAAAAAGTTATTTCAAATAGTTTGTTAAGTTTAGCATTAGTTTAGTTTATTGAGTATTTAAGTTAAGATCATCATCATCATNCCATTTTTTAGGAATTTCATAAATAAATTTTATGTAAATAATTATTTTTTTTTATACTTGTATCTTTCTAGTTGATTATTTCAATTGGTTTTACTCAAGCAATTAAACTTTATTCAATTAAATTACAAGCCCCATTAGGTATGTTTAATTACATTTATTTTGTTTTTAATGCTATAATTACAGTAATTAAAATAACAAAATTCTGTTCATTAATTGTACATGAAGTTTATGCTTTGAAAATGTTTTCAATGAGAAATAAACAGATTTCTATAATGTTTACAAAATTAATAGCATAATTATTTAAATTATATATATAATATATTATTTGTTTTGTTCATACTTAAAAAGCAATTTATCATGTAATTTCAGTTTGAAATTTTTATTATTATTTTGTTAATTTTTAGATTCTGGTCCAAAGATTATGAAACTTTTTATTAATCAACCATGTACATTAGATTTTGATCAAGCTGATAGTATGGAACCAGTTCAAACATTAGAGTATGTTTTTCAATGTTTATCAGAGTAATAGTAGTGATTTATGTATGTATGTATATATATTACTTAAAAATAAGTAAAGTATTATTTGAATAATTTGAAATAATCCAACACTAAGTTACAGATTAAACAGATTTATACAGTTTATAATATGAAAATGAACATTATTAAATATAGTATTCTATATAATAAATACAGAATTCTGTATTATTATTATCATGCTTTTTGTTTGTGTTGCTTGTTCTTTTGTAATGTTTTCACAATTCTTGCAGTTTCTAGCAATTCTTTTATTAATTCGATTATTATTTAAATATCGTTCATTAAATTATTTATTTAAATTAAGACAGTGTAGTGCCTCTTATCAACAGTAAATTTAATTAATAGAAGATAAATTTTAACCATAAATGCAACTCTGATATTAGAATTATAAAATAATAAATAAATCTTATTGAAGAATAAATTTACTATTTTTTTTTTAAAACAATAAACAATAAATTTATTTATTCTATTATTTAATTGCATTACAGTTGTCCCTTGATAATCCGACAGGTATGGGACCAAAGGTGTGTCAGATTACCAAAAGTGTCCGGATTACCAAAAATAATTACATATTTCGCATTGTTTTGCTAGCAGTAGCCTACAATATTCTCTACTCCAACTGTTCGAACAGAACTGCTCACATAAAACACATGAAATGTGTGTCATCGAGTAAGAATTGGATGGGGAGATTCACATCGCGACATGCTTCTGTGCAAGCAGACACGTAACGGGGACGGGTACCTTGACGGGAGGTGCGTCGGACTACTGAGCATGTCAGATTAAAAAACATCGGACTATAGAGGGACAACTGTATATCCTATATGTTGTAAAAAATATATATGCAGTGATTTGAAATAACAGAAACTGAATTAAGCATGTTAAGGAATTATTACTAATATAATAGCCATCATCTGTATGTGTATGTGTGTATGAATTCCTTATAACTCCTGCAATTTTTGTCCAATCCAGATGAAATTTTGGTTATAATTGATTTTGAATTTGTGATTGCACTATTATTGCAGTGATATCAGTGACCACATGACATTCATGCTCGACGAGAAAATTTACCTCAAGTTACATTTTTACATTATTTTGGCAAATGGCATATTTTAAACTTTATAAATAATAGCCATATTGGGTCACTTCTTTAAAAAAAATCTTTTCATAGTGACCATGTGATGTCCTATTATCCAATCAGAAGTAATGATTAAATGACCCCATTATTTAGAAAGTTTTATCACTCATCTAATTAATGTACGTACAATTCATCTTTGCACTAAATTATCAATGTAGAATTAAAATGGCTCGCTATTTTGTCAAAAAAAAAAAAAAGCTTAGGGAAAAGTGTAAGAGTAAAATTGGTGAAGTAAATTCTAGATCTAAAGGAATAAGATTGATTGAGACCCCCAAAGGCTGTGAAGTATGACTTCAGCAATGTTGAGTAAGAATAATGCTGTCAAGGGCTGCAGAAACAGCATCACAATGTCAAGCTTGACTTGAAGCTCTTCTCAATTCTTCAATCTCTATTCTCTCATAAAAAATATTCTGTCATGCTTGATAGAAGAATTTCTAGTATAATTTATAAAACTCCTGATTCTATTTTATCATTTATAACTGACATTTCAAAAATCTCTGTGGACCAAAATAAATTGTATGGCATACAACATCTGGTTCATGAGTTGNAAAAGTGTTCCAGTCAGACTATGTTGTGCTGAATCGAATGTTTTTGATACTAGATTAACTTCTAAAGTATGATTTTTTTTGTTTTTATATTTTTCAACATACTGTATTTATTTTGTTTGTACAAAATAAAGAATTAATTTTTAACAATACAATAGCCACAATTATTATTTAAAAAAATTTACGTTAGGCATAACAGCGACGAAAATTCAACACAAAGTAACACGCAACAGAGAAAAATTCAACGTGGGATAGGTTAATATATTTTTCCGTACATAATCGGTTATCTGAAAAATAAGTTATCCAAACAACCCCAGTCCCCAATTGATACAGATAAACGATGCTCTACTGTAATCACAAAACAACAAATTACATTTAAGAAACAAATGTAAATAGCAGAGTTACAACAATTTCAATAGTAGTTAAAACAACTAAAACTGACATTATATTCAAAATATAAAAGGAGGTTGTTCTTATGATGTTTTTACATATCACATTGATACTTTTTAAATGAAACAATAAAAAAATTAAAATAAAATAATAATTAATCTCAAAAATACTTTCAACTGAATGTAAACTATGCAATTAAAATCTCTTTTACAAATTTATAAATGCAATTTGCATGATTAATTGTTATGATGAAATACATTTAACAAAGATAACAATTTTTAAAATGAAAAAACTTCTGTTTATTTAATATAATTAAAATATATTTTACCTATAGTTATACAGAGTTCTCCAAGCATATTATCTGGATTAGCTAAAGGAGTTTGAGTCAAACTAGACATTATTAAAACATCCGAATTACGAAGTGGAGTGTGTTCCATTGGTTTTGGATGAGTAGTTAAAGTTGACGAACCAGATATATAAGTAATCTAGAATTACAAAAGTGTATAATATAATATATAAAAAGAAATTATTTTATAAAATTAAAGAGTTAAATATCAAAAATATTAAATTATGGTACAGTGCTCTCTTAACATATGAAGAAGCATGTTCAAACAATTTACTACTAAGCATAGCAGACATTTAAATTTTGAATTTAATTATTCTGTCCATTCTTATTACATGATTGAGTTGGTTTTGCAATTTGACATTTGGTAATTGAAAAAAAAAAATCCAAAATTTCTTTCTTTTGAGTAAACTGGTTAAGAATTTTTTTTAAATTTAAATAAATTAAAATATATGAAATTTTTTTCTCCATTTGATATAACTTAAAAAAATTACATCAGTATATTTAAGAAAATAAATTTCAAGTAAGCATTTAACTAAAGAATTTTATATTAATAAAAAACATTAATTTTTAAAGATAATAAATTACTTAAATCCATAATTACCTTCTCATGATTACTACTTATTATCCAATTGCAACTTCCTAAACAATATCCTGAGCTTACAGCAGAAACATTTAAGACTCCGTAAATATCCTATTCTCCAAAACAAATATTAAATATAATAATTTATTTATTTAACTTATTAATAAAGAAAGAGAGATTATTTATTAAAAGAAAACAAAAATTTATAATTATTAATTTAATTTTTGTTCTCAAAATACAACTTATATACAACATACAAACTTTTAACAGAATCCTTCAAAATATAAATCTTTAGCATAAAGTATATCTTAACAATATCAGATTACAGCATATAAACTAGGAGTTTAATTTTCAAATGTTTTAAATCAAGCTTAACCTTTTATAAAAACAATTTTAAACAATCTTTTTTTTTTTAAAAAAATATTCAAGTTTAAAACATTTTAATCTTATTTTAATTAAAGAAAGTTCATTATTTTATTAAAGAATTAGTTATATTTTATTTTCCATTCTAAATATTAAGTATCAAATCCAACTGAAGACATTTCCTTGATAGTTCTTAGGTTTTTTTTAAAAAAGAAAAATCATACTATTGGGTTGTTCAGAAAGTAAGTTCGTTTTTTTTTACCACTAGACGGATTAGTCGTATTTTTCCCGCCATTTTCATTCTAAACTGTATTATCATTATATATTTTGACAGCTAGCATTTTAAGGCTTATTTGTAAAAAATTTTGTCTGATTTTGTGCAATTGTTTATTTTTTGTGTCCCATCAAATATGGAAGATCGGAAGCAGCATTTTCGGCATATTTTGCACTTTTATTACTGAAATAAGAATGCTGTTCAAGCGAGAAAAGAAATCGTGCACTGTGTATGGAGATGATGTATTGACAGAACGACAGTGCCAAAACTGGTTTACAAAATTTCGTTTTGGGAATTTCAATATTGAAGATGCACCACATTCTGGATGGCCAGTTGAAGCCAATGAAAACAAAATAAAGGTACTGATTGAAGCAAACTGCCGAATAACAATACGTGAAATCACTAAGAGATTAAATTTGTCAAATTGAACTGTTTATGATTACTTGAAACAAATTGGTTTCATTTCAAAGCTTAATATATCGGTTTCACACATTCTTAAAGAGAGATGCTCTCTTTGGTGGGATTTTAAGGAAATTTTTTTTGGAGCTTTTACTAGGCAATTTAACAATTGATTTGAAAGTGTACTGCCATCGAGTAAACAAATTGAGTAATATCATCAAACAGAAAAGGCGGCCAGAATTGATCAACAAAACAGGTGTAGTGTTTTACCACAATAATGTCAAATTTCACACAAGTTTGGTAACTCGTCAGAAACTGTTATAACTTAGATGGGACGTGCTATCGCACCAACCATATTTGCCAGATCGAGCACACTCGGATCATTACTTGTTCCAATCTATACAAATTTTTTTTAACTGTAAGACATTTACTTGAAATGACAATGTCAAAAATCACTTGGATCAGTTTTTTGTAAGCAACGATCAAAACTTCTATGAATGTGAAATCATGCTACTACCAGAAACGATGACAACAGGTATTTGATCAAAATGGTCGATATACAATTCAATAAAATATTTATTTATTATAAAAGTATTATGTTTTTTTTCCACGAAAAAAAAACGAAATTACTTTCTGAACAACCCAATAGTACAAGTACAGGAAATCCTCTTTAGTTCGAAATAATCGTGACTTTGAATTATCAATCTTCAAATTATCCAAGATTTACATATATCTGTACAATATGACAAATGCCATGTAACCAAAATAATTTAAGTATATGGAATACAGATATGCTTACAGAATGTAAAATTTTCATTATTAATAATAATAATAATATAAATGTGAAGGTGAATACCACATGCCCATTGAAATCTCACAGGTTGCCAGATAAGTTTTATAAAAGTAAAGCACAATTCCTGGAAATTTAGCCCAAATTATTTTTAAGTGGTTCAAAAAGTAGTAGGACACCCAAATGTAGTAGCCTACAGCCTTACAGATATCTCAATCTGCTATTTGTAGCCCAATATTGCATTCCCAAAAACCAATTGTATTTTATGAGATAAGAGGAAAAAAAAATATTTTGTGGATAAGATCACACCTAAAAATATGTTACTATAAAAGCAAAGCATATTGGCCAGATTAGAGTTGTGCACAGTCTATTGTTCTCTTACAGCATGGAGGCACTTTGATCTAAACGAACGAGTTAACATATGCATATCACAGTTTGGACAGAATTTTCATTTTGAAGTAGATGTATTTTCAACTAAACAAATTCCTTAATATGAAAATCTCCATATCCCTGGCCAGGTCAAATATATGGTTACAAACTAATGAGATTTCAAATTATCTGAGTTTGAATTAATGAGGATTTCCTGTAATTAAACTGTTAATAGTAAATACATTCCACTTAAACTGTTAATAGTAAATGTTTTTTGTTGCTCAGAAGAATTTAAAAAATCTATTTAGGTACTAAGAACACACTAAATCACCAAAAATCCAGCACACAAAATAATTTAATCAAAAACAAATATTTTCAATTGCTCTGCATCATCTATCGTTAATTTGATGTAAATCTGAAGATCATTGAAAACGTTTGTTTTGATTAAATGATTTTGTTTGTAAGCTGGATTTTTGTTTATTTAGTGAATTGATAAACATCCAGTTTATTACAAATTCAAGTTTATTCAAGTACTTTTCACATCACTAAATGCATGATGATACACAATTTATCTTTCTAATAATGTAATTAAAAATAAAAGATTTTTTGTTTTGTATTCATATTATTTAATTTAAAATAATTTATTTTGTAATCTTTTCCCAAAACTTAATATTAAATTATCATTTTAGTAAAGTAGATTTTTACTTGTAAATTTTAAAACCTATCTTAGAAATGATATTTTACTCATTTTTACTTGTCCAAAGCAGGCATGTGTGTTAGAATCAGTGGCATATTATATTTGAAGTAAAAAAAAAAAAAATTGACAATCATTATATTTTCATTGAAATATATTTTGAAAAAACAAACTTTTATCAAGTTCAGACTAGTAAGGTAAATATATTTAAATCTGAACACAGCTTTCTAGTTACAGTAGAGCATCAATTATCCGAATGCCAATCAACTGAAACGTCATTTACCAAAAGCGCTCCAGTCATACTGTGTTGTGCTGAATCAAACATTTTTATACTAGATTAACTTCTGAAGTATAATTTTTTTTGTTTTTATATTTTTCAATATATTTATTTTGTTTGTACAAAATAAAGAAATAATTTTTAACGATACAATAGCCACAATTATTATTATAAAAATTTTCGTTACGCTTAACATCAACGAAAATTCAACACAAAGCGACATGCAACAGAGAAAAATTGAAACATGGAATATATTAATATACTATTATTGGGATATACTAATATACTATATTAACAATGTATTTTTTTGTACATAATCGGTTATTTGAAAAATCAATTTTCCAAACAACCCCAGTCCCCAATTGATTCGAATAATCTATGCTCTACTGTATTGAATATTCATACACTAGTCACCCTCAAGAAAGTTAATTGACTGCTTCCAGTACTATCAAAAATTGACTATAACTCCAAAACTGTGAAAATGAATGAAATTTTCTTACATATTCCAATTGCTTTACTGACAAATACTTAATGAAATCAACAAAGGATATATTAATAGTAATGCAAAGAATGTTTATATAGTACTACCTATTAGGAATTGCATGTAAACTGTTTTCTTTAATATGCAATAGATGGCAATGAAAATGTAATGATACTGTACGTTTTATAATAAACTAATATCATATAAAAGCAGAACAATAAAGATAAAGTACTGTAGTAGATCACTACTTTCTTCATTTATGTATAAGTTTATTCTTAAGATTGCACTGAAATTTTGTAATAAAACTCTTTAAACTGCACAACCATGATAGGTACATTACCAAGAAAACAGACATTGACAAAATAATTGTCTTCTACTACTACTTCTATTAGCTATTTCTACTTACAAATTTTTCACAAATGCACTTCAAGCTAGTTCAATATATCAAGATTCTTTAATTGAAATATTACAATAAATTCGCTATGATAGAAATGTGAATACATGAAATGAGACTATATTTGACTACAAAGTTTAATTGATAAGATGGTATAAAAAATTAAATAAAATTGTAAATTACTAACCAATTTTTCAGCATAACCAACAACTTTGACCTTTGCTAAACTACTGTTAACTTCTTTCATTGTGTAAATCTGTCTCCATGTTCTTGGTTTTATAGAATCAAAAGGTGGAGGTAAAGTTCTATTTTAAAAATTAATAAGAGAAACATATTATAAAAATATTTTTATATAATTTACATATTTATATAATTAATTTTATTTGCTGAATAGTCCTGTAAATCAAGATTAGAATACCAACATTACAATACCAACTTAAATTAAACAATTGCTTTTATTGGGCTTAATATAGCCCAATAAAAGCAATTGTTTAATTTAAGTATAGTAGAATTACAATAAAATGTCTCTAACTCAAACATCTGTAACTTGAAGAAAATAAAGCACTTTGTAGGTCTCAATGGAACAGCATGGGGATTTAACATCTCCAACTTGAATTTCTTAACTCTAATTTTTTTCAAGTCAAAGTTTGTCACAGTCCCCCGAAACTGATTTATGTCACTTTCAACTTCCCCAACTCAAATTTTAATATTTATTCTATCCAAAGTAATCCTAATTATCAGATTTACATGAAATTTTCAAACAGTTAGTTGTATCCACTCTCCAACACCAATTTTCACATAGCATTCCAGTCCAAAGTGAAAGGTCCTCTTGCTTTATCTCAACAAGATGTACAGTATCTGCAAAACTGTTTGATTCCATTAGTTATATTGAACATTTTGCTGAAAAGCATTACACAGCATGTTTAAAAAAAACTATAAAAGATTCTTTATATAATGCAAGAGAGGTAAAAGTACAAATCTATTCAGAATTCACAATTTTTACTCTATTGTTCTCTAACTGAAATCATCTGTAACTCAATGTTTTTTCCTGCCCCTTGGAGCTTCGAGTTAGAGAAGTTTTACTGTATTTATTTATTATTGTCTGAAATTATTATGATTATAGCTGTAGAGGATGAATAGTTAAAGACTGCACATTTTAGCAATTATAAAAAAAAGTACATGTAGTCCGAGTTACAACTGAGTGTAACTTTGAGATTCGTCAGAAGTTGAGTACAAAAAAATAACGATAGTAAGAAATTATGGTTCTCAAGGCAAGTAACTACCCAAGTGAGGTAATCTGAAAAAAATATTTCAGATAAAACTCCACTAGCAACATTCGTAACTTCAATTTTACAAACAGCCATTTTGTTGAAAACGAATCAGTCAAAGTAAGAACAACAATGACATTGTTCTCATTTAACTCATTTTGATTTTATGAACAACCCAAAAATATGGATTTTGTTAGATGATGCATGTCAAAAATTAAAGATTAACAAAACTGGGTAAGTTAAAATAATACAGCTGTTTCATTGAAAACTTATAAGTTTATATTTCAAATCTGGACAATGAGGCAAATTATTAGGCAATGACACAATCTTTACGAGAAAATGTTGTGATGCAAGAAATTTTATAGTCGATAAAGTTTGTGTAGTTTAAACTAAAAGTCAATTTTTTTTATATTTCTTCACCTATCATTTCTGATGGATTACAGCATGTATTAATAATGATAATAATAATACTAGTACTAAACTAATAACACTAATAATATTTAAAGTATTTAATTTTTGTATAGTTACTTTAAAATTTCTGGTTGCTTCCATTTCTTTGCCACTTTGATTTTAGGTGTTCTTTCAATATAATTAACTAATTCTTCCATAAATTGCCTTAAAAAAAAAAANATTTATATTTATAATACAAATCTAACAAATAAAAATTATGTTATTTGAGGTGTAACATTCTGTTGTTTTAAGTAATAAAAATTAGAGACAAAAAATGATTATTATAAAAAGAATTATATGCCAAATAAATGATTTCAGCCATCATCAATGGGTCTGTTTAGGTTCTAGAATAAAAAATATTTAAAATACAAATGCAACAGAACATTAGTATGTAGTAGTGCAGAACAAAAAACAATATTTAACTGTTACCAAAAAAAGGTAAAAATTAGCAACAGATAAATCAATAACTCTGTTGTGTATGTATTTCTGTTAATGATTAACTACTGTATTTTTGTTCTATACTACCCCTGCTAATGCTGGTCATTGACAATGACTGCAAATATTTGTTCATTGTAAAAAATTTTTGCTAGATTTCAATGGTTTTTGTTTTAAATTAATATAAATTGTTTTTTCTGTAAAAAGGAATGATTCATCTTCGATTCATAAAAATCTAATTTCATCAACATTAGCCTACTTATAAATTGTCACTTCTCTGGTTATTTGTAATGTATTGTATTATGGAAATAATGCAGAATTGTAAATAAAAATGTTAACTTTCAATTTCATGGTGTGCATTTATATTTTTTTGATCAAAGAAACTGACAATTACATTTGTTTTGTTTCAAATTTAGCAAGATTACTTCAATCTTAAAAGTGAATAAGACTTCCTTGTGATAGTTTTGTTTCAGGATCATAGTCATGCATGTTATATATCGGGTGGGCAAGCAAGAGTTCAGTGGGAGCCGAAATGTAGGTTTTGCAAAATGCATGAGAGCCGCAGTTCTGTACTTTTTTATTCTGTACTGCGATTTTATTATATAATACAAATATAATATAAAACAAATATTGAATTTTTTTAATAAACATATTTTCACAAAATTGTGGAAATAAAATTGTAAAAATAATAATAAAAAGCAGAAATTAATACTTTCAGCAAGAGCTGCAAGTAACTCAAAAGGAGCCGCATTTGCCCATGTCAGATATATATCATCATCTGAACATTTCAACCAATTAGATGCTGCTAATAAACTATTCTCTTCCTGTTCCACAGTCAGAAACCATAAAATAAACTGATTATTATTATTAAAACCACTGCATGCCAAATCGTCTGTGAAAATTGGTTCTAGGGAAGATGCTTATGAGTTAATTGTAAGTTCTCTATTTGCTAGCTTTTGATTAGTTCTCATAAGCCAAATGATCGCCTAATTAATTGAGCTATTATTTTACAATTATTAATAATTAGAATTTAAGTAATTTGGTATTAGAGATGGCACCTAGCATCTATCTCTAATACCAAATTACTTGATTTCTAATCTAACTATATAAAGCTGAAAAACCGGATTCTTTCTTTCTTTCTTTTTGTCACTGTATGCCAAAAATGGCCACTAGGGGTGCCGCTAGCTATTATTTAAATTGACAATAAATTCAGTATATTATTATTATTTGATGTGATTTTTTGTATTTTTGGCTGCACTTTAGTAGGGTATGCCATGAGAAATTCAGTATATTATTATTTTTATTTGTAATAGGAATTTATTATTTATACCATGGAATGACACCACTGCTGCTAGAACGCCCACTAGGGGGTGTCCTGGGCTACTAGAGTAGAAGAAGTAAGAAATAATCTAATAATCTTAATCTTTGTTGTTGATTTTGCCCAGGCAACGCCAGGCTCGTCTGCTGGTTATTAATAATAGCAAAATAATAGCCCGATTAATAATGGCTATCATTTGGTTTAGTATCAATGCAACAGGCTTTGGGTTATTTATTATGTACAGTTCTCATAAGAATATAGTTTTTCTCTTATTTACCATTTCTATTTATTGGAGAAAACTAAGCAAAAACAGATCAATTGGATGAAATAAGATCAAACAATAAAAAAATGTTAAGATTCAATATAAAACCAGCAGCTCGGATTGTTTGATTTTGATTTCATTTCATCCAGTTTATTTGTTTTTCTTGTTTAAGGTGACACTAGTCAGAAACTGCAGAAAGCTTGTTTTAAGGATAGTCAAAGTTAATTGCAAATTAAAATTCCTTAAACAATGTGAGATTCATGAGAGTTTTTGTTTCGATTTTACTCTTTCTTTGTTAAATTTATGTTCTGCTATATAATTTTGAATTCAAATAACTGTTCTGGAACCTAAAGATGGTCATTTTAAATGATTGAAAATGTTTGTTTGCCTTGAATTTATACACTGAATTATAAGATTTTTTGCTTTTTTTTTTAATTTGCACACTCAACCAAACTAGTACAGCAAATTTTTAACAAATTGTCATATTAGTGGAATTTGCTGTCTCTGTACTCAGACATTACAGTGTGCGACTTTCTTCTACTCCCAAAATAAAGACTGCTAGATGGCTGAGGCACTTAAGGCATCAATCTACCATTCTGGGAAACCTAGGATCAGATCCAGCAAGCAACTTCCCAGGAATTTTATATGGAAAGTTGCATGCAATCCTGAATAGTCATAAAATGTAAAGAATCTAGCCCCATCACTCACCACCCATTCATCCCAAGCTGTGGACTTGCCCATGGGTACAGAAAAAGATCCTCTTAGTGCCCGTAAAATGGAAAGAATTAAAAGAAATAAACCCCAAAATGAAAAGATTTGATACAAGAATTGATTACTTTAAGAGTAGTCAAGTTTGATCATTCATATGCTGGAATCATATAATTCTCAGTAACCACTTGACACCCTATATATCATAGAGAGCATACTTTGCAGTGTATAAGATGATAATGAAATTGACTGCATTTTGGGAAGGGTCACATTGATTGGTCACATGTGAGGGATATGGATGCAATGATTGATTGTGCTCCAAGATTTTATTACAGTAGAACCTCGATTATCCGCCCTAATTGGGGACTGGGGTTGGTCGGATAATTGAAAAGTCGGATAACCGAAAAGTATGAAAAAATCCATTATTAGTGTAGTATATTATTATATCCCATGTAATTAGTATATTAGTATATCGCTATTAACCTATTTTGCGTTGAATTTTCATCGATGTTAAGCCTAACAAAAATTTTTTAAAATAATAATCGTCGCTATTGTATCGTTAAAAATTAGAAAATTAAGCTTCGTTTAAATACTGGCTCCCTTTCATGGTCGAATGAGTGTTGCCAGCTAAAACACGTAAAAATAATATTAAAGTAGCCAAGACATAGCCAAATATTGTAGCTCCACATCACTAGCGGACATTTGAAATTTGCCGACTAGGACGGTCGGTTAACCGAGGGGTCGGTTGATCGGGGGGCGGATAATCGAGGTTCTACTGTAATTATAAAAGGTATCCAATATTGACTACTCTTATCATATTCAATATTGTAATAGAATAACCATCAAATGTAATATGGTAGTTTTTCTCAATTCCCAAAAATTACTTTAACAGATATTTCAAAAAGTAGCAAAATCTTTGGAATAAATGTACACTAATCAGGAGTCTACTTTAATGAGTATTAGTTCTTTATCCTGATAAATTTATTGTTTTCAGTTTAACAACTTCAGTCTGAATATTTTTTGAGACTTTATACTTTTATTATTTTAAAACATAATCATTAAATTATAAAATATTTCTTTCATAAAAAACTTACTTTCCTATTTGTAAAGTTGGTTCTGTAGCATAGACAGTTCCATTAAAACCACCTCCTTCAGTAATGTATGGAAGAGCCATCATACTTTGATAATTTGATAATAATATGACATCAATTTCAGAAAAATCAATAATTCCAACCTATAATAATATGATTCTTTTAAAAATTATACAAAGTATAGAACAGACATAAAAGTATTTTATACATAAGTGAGTGAAAATATTCATATTGTGTAAAAATAGTTATATTACGATTTGCTAAATAACCAGGATGGTAAGTATCAACCTGACTCCTTGCCATCCTTTGCAAATTGACACTTACCACTCTAAAGAACTTAGATTTGATTTAATTAAAAAATGTGACTAATGGATTTTATGTCTTTGTTTTACATAATACAGGTCGGTGCATGAAAAAGTAGTCCCAATCTGTAGCTTAGAAGAAACATAGAATAATACAGGATCTGGGAGAGTCAGGAAATCTGCAAATACTGCAGAATCTGCCTGTTGCTTCTTTTTGATCCAAACATGTCTTTAAATTTGGTTCAGTATAGAGGGGTCTACAAAAACTGGAGTGACCAAACAAATGGCAAGATTTGTTGCACTTATATCTCAAACTATAAATGATAATCTAATGATTTAAATTTTTTTGGGCAGGAGGTTTACATCCATATTTAAAACAGTGGGTAGTGGGGGTGTGCAGCTGTGCGGGAAGGGGTAGCAGTTGCACACGAACACCAAAAATGGTGATACAATGCAGTGTTTGGGTAGTGAAACTTTGGATAGTAAAGAGATAGGATGTCAAAATTTATATTGATTTGTACAGAATGATGGGATCTATAATATTATTTAGCAACAATAACCAATAAAATAGAATTTGTAAACTTATAAGCCAATGACTATGCGAATTGAAGAAAATTTTCATAATGTCGAAGAAATTGAGAACAGATGAGTAAAAGACGTATATCATTGGAAAGAAAAATTTAAATAGGAATCAGTAAAGCCCAAAATGACTAATGACAAATGATAGAGAGCATTTAACAATATTGTTAAATGGCATAGTTAACATCTATATTCATTACATCATTTTGACATTATTAATAGTTTGGCAGTTCACTGCACTAAAGAATAGATGATTGTATTAATGATCAAGTTCCAAAACTCCTTTTACAAATGATATTTCTCTCTACTAATGTATAAATTCACTTCTATAGAAAATAGAAATTATGATTATTATAGATATTGTTTTCTAACTTTAATTTTTCTTAACTTACCCATAATTATAAATAAAATGACTGCTAAGAATAATTAAAAACATTACCTATATCTAAAGTGAGTATCTTACTTAGACTACAGTGATCATATGTCTACAGGGATTTTTGATCCATAAATTAAACAAATATACATCTTCAAAAATATTTTTCCTATAAAAAATTTCTAGACTTTATTACTATAAACTGTGTTTAATATTTATTTATATTATCTTCATTTATTTAATACGAAGAAACAGTATATAACAATTATTTGTATCAGTATTTTCATTTCATTTCTCAGATTATTCAATCAAATTTGAGTAGATTGGAAAATGAAATGATCATAAATGACATTAAAGAAATATGGAAAACTTCAATTTTTTGTTGAAATAAAGTCAAACAACTATTGAATTAAATCAGGCTACTTTTCCATGATTATATTTAATTAATTACTAAATAATTCATTACTAGAGGGAGGCATTAAGCGCCATCTCTTATTAAATTTAATAATTACAGTAGAGTGTCGTTTATCCGAAACGTCGGTTAACCGAAAGCATTCCAGTCGGCAAATTTAAATTTTCGCTAGTTCTGTGGCGCTGCAATCTTTGGCTATATCTTGGTCTACTCCAATATTTTTTTGTTGGTGTGTGTGTTTTAGCTGGCAGCGCTGGCATATTTGTGTGGTGTTTTTCTGAGGACTGTGTGTCGTGCTGAATCAAACGTTTTTGATACTAGATCAACTTCTAAAGTATATATTTTTTTGGTTTTTATATTTTTCAATATATTTATTTTGTTTGTACAAAATATAAAAATAATTTTTAACGATACAATAGCCACGATTATTATTTTAAAAAGTTTATGTTAGGCTTAACATCGATGAAAATTCAACGCGAAGCGACATGCAACAGAGAAAAATTTCAACGTGGAATAAGTTAATATATTTTTTCGTGCATAATCGGTTATCCGAACAACCTCAGTCCCCAATTGATTTGGATAAACGATGCTCTACTGTATAACTAAATTAATATTTATTAAATAATTTAGAATATTCTGGAAGAAAAGAATCAGCCTGGAGCGGGACTCAAATCTGCAACTCTTGCTTACTATGCAAATGCTTTGCCAGTTATGCTAACTGAGCCTCAGTCCAATCTCCTCTTCCAGACATATTTAAATATGATATAACCATCCTTGGGTATGAATATGATATAACCATTCCAGTCTCCCTCTAGTAACAAATTATTTAGTAATTAATTAAATATAATTGTAAGAAAGTAGCCCAATGTAATCTAGTAGTTGTTTGGCTTTACAAAGTTATTAGGTTTAGTGATGTTTGTTAGAATAAATGAAATACGTGATATTTTTAATTAATATAAATGTAAATGGTATTGAAAACATGCAAGAAAGATAACAAATTTCATGAACTCCCTAAATATGAAATTATAACCAGGCAATTTGCCAAATTATCAAGCTATGATTAGGCCCAATAATAAGACTGTCTTGGTTTAATCAAAAATCAAGTTTGTTGAGTGAAATTATACATTAATATTACATGGTTTTAATTAATTTTTATAGTTTTTATTAAAAAGCTTATACCATGTTAATAAAATTTTAAATTTTGACTTTGATTAAAAAAACAGAACAAATAAATACCTCAGGTAAGCAAAATTCTGGTGAACTATCAATAAATACTCTTCCGGCACATTCTCTTAATTCCTTCATAAAAATTTTCAATTAAAGAAAATATTTGAATTTATTAAAAAGTAAAATAGAAATAATATTACTTACTCCTTCTAACTGAGCATCATTAGAATTGCGAGGTATCCAAGTTGAAAGATTAGCTAATCTAGAACTGAAATTCAGTTACATATTAACAATTATAAATTTATTTTTAAAATTTTCTTTTACTTTACACAGTTTATCCTAAAAGTTTTCTAAAATGGTTAAAAAACATATTTACTTACAAGCAATTAAATTTTTTATTGTCTATTATTTAAAATGCATTCTGTTCACAACAACATATTAATTATAATGAACATTTTCCAAGGCATTATCAAAAGTGTTTTAAGCAGAGATGAGCAAATACTATCCATGAATATTTTCTAGTATTCAAATATTACACATCTTTGAATATCCCACTGATTAAAAAAAATTTGAATACTATGAATACTTTAAATATTGTGCTGCATGTACAGACAGCACTTCTTCAGCCAGCATTACCAGATAGATAGAATCAATTATCCTTAAAGTGTCTGCAAAATTTTCCCCAATTTTTGAATTTTTATCAAAAAATTTCCCACAATATCATCAATATTACAGATACAATTTTTTCAATTGATTCAAGTTATGAATATTTTTGAAAAGTTATTTATTGAATTTTCACATAATGATTTGTTCTATTTCATAATTTGAAAATATGTAAGACACCTAATATTGTATAAACTAGTTGGAAGAAAGAAAAAACATACATAAAACTGTATTTTCAATTTATATTATTTCATTTTAAAAAAGTAATACAATTGTCCACGTTTTTTTCTTTTCACTTCATGTACATATTATCATGGTAATAAACCAAATANAAAATTCCACAAATTATGAAATTTTATCAAAAAATTTCCCACAATATCATCAATATTACAGATATAATTTTTTCAATTGATTCAAGTTATGAATATTTTCGATATTCATAACTTTTATTGAAATATATTTTTGAAAAGTTATTTATTGAATTTTCGCATAATGATTTGTTCTATTTCATAATTTGAAAATATGTAAGATACCTAATATTGTATAAACTAGTTGGATGAAAGAAAAAACATACATAAAACTGTATTTTCAATTTATATTATTTCATTTTAAAAACATAATACAATTGTCCACGTTTTTTCTTTTCACTTCATGTACTGTACATATTATCATGATAATAAACCAAATACTCTATCTATTTATGTGTTCACATGCTTTAAATATACTGCAAGAATATAAAAATTCTTAAATTTCACCTGCTTTAGTATATCTTTACAGTTTGAATTATAAATGCAGACATTTTCAAATATTTTTAGTTGATAATAATATATTAAGATAAGAATCTCGACTGTTTATAATGAATGTATTTATTTAATTAGTATAGAAGTACAAGAGAAGTATGAGGAGCATCCAGAAAATAAAAAACGTTTGTCTATGAAAAAATTTTAAAAAATCTAGCAATGAGAGTTGCGTAACTTTCCCAACAAAATATTTANTATTTCATTTTAAAAACATAATACAATTGTCCACGTTTTTTCTTTTCACTTCATGTACTGTACATATTATCATGATAATAAACCAAATACTCTATCTATTTATGTGTTCACATGCTTTAAATATACTGCAAGAATATAAAAATTCTTAAATTTCACCTGCTTTAGTATATCTTTACAGTTTGAATTATAAATGCAGACATTTTCAAATATTTTTAGTTGATAATAATATATTAAGATAAGAATCTCGACTGTTTATAATGAATGTATTTATTTAATTAGTATAGAAGTACAAGAGAAGTATGAGGAGCATCCAGAAAATAAAAAACGTTTGTCTATGAAAAAATTTTAAAAAATCTAGCAATGAGAGTTGCGTAACTTTCCCAGCTATTATGAGATTTTTATTTTAAAAAATCTTTTTTATTATTAAGAAAATAAAATAAAATTGTGTGTGACACCATCTGTTATCAGATTTTGTTGTAAAAACATTTTATATTTTTAATTACTATACAATGGTAAAAAGCTTAATTTTGAGAGTAGGGATAAGTTTTATAAAAAAAAAAAAAAGTGTAAATGCTAATAAGTATTCTTGTATTCTTTGCATAATCATTCTGTTCTGCATTCAACAGTTTTAAATGTGATAATATCCATTTGAAAATGAATGAAGACATTTGTTTTAATAAACTTGTATAGTTTATTTGCTGGTTTCTGATATTGGTGTGTGTTATTTAAACAGAACCAGTTTTTGAGATAAATTGTTTATTATTTATATAATTGTATTAATTATTTTGTTATAAATTAATCATTAAATTATTACTAAAATTTTATTTAACTATACTTATTTTTAAAAATCAATTTAAATATATATATCTTACCTTGGAATAAGAGGGAGTGGCAAAAAGTGAAGAACTGACATTGCATCAAGACCACAATCTAACATAATGGTGGTGTTTTTGAATTTTAAAACATTGCATGATTTGTTTGGATGCCCACTTAAACAATACTATATTAAAAAATAAAATTTAATTATAAATATTTTTGATAATTTTTATAAGAGTAAATATTAATTTGTAATAAAAGCATTTTTACTTTGTTCTTTTTATTCATCATACATTCTGGCAAAGGTAAAATTCAATATAACAAAATCCTTTACATTATCTAACTATATACATATAGAGTGACTCCTGATAATCTAAACTGATTATTACAAAGGCTTGTTCAGATTAGTAAAAAGCTTAAATTACAGGGTTATTATATAAAGCAAAGAAAGTTAAGAAAAAAGACTACAGATAAATACATATATTTTAATTATAAATAAAAATTTTTATGCTAAATGTAGGTTGATAAATACATTTATGTTAAAATGCACAGTTTAGTACAATCCTAGTAAGCTAACCATTCACCAGTTCAACACATCTAGTAATCCAACACTAGTCAGCTATATGATATTACTGGCACAGTTGCCAAGTCAGATAAGCTTCTCATTAGTTCAAATGGCAGTTTCCACTAAATTTGAACACCTATGTGTATAATGTATATAATATGTACTAGGGGGTTTCCAACTTTTTTCACATATCAACCCTTTTAAGAAAATTTTTTTCCATCAACCTCCTTAAATAGGAACCGTATATTTGGATTATTTTGTGACACTCATGTTTTTTAATGTTAATTACCAGATTATTGGAGTTTCAAGAATTCTTAAATGATTTTATTTACTAAATAATTAAATACTAAAATACAGTATTATGTATGCATGCACAATATATATCTAATTTTTCCCTTTCAAACTTTCATCGACATCTAAGGGTTTCATACTGACTTCATTAAGAAGTCAATATATACAAATAATTTTTACAGTTTACAATCAGTAATGATTCACTGATGACCTTTTCCCATACAAAATTCTTCCATGCACTAGATAAAAAGTCTACATTTCCTACATTGGTGCAATTATTGATCTCTCTATGGTTAAAGATCATCTTTAAAACTTCATTGAAAAACTTCCTTCTTATAGTAGCTCTTATTGTTAATTTCAAAGAAATAAATCTCTCTACAGCATGGCAATTTTTACTTTGATAAATCATAATATATTTTATAAGTTAAGTTTATATGGGGTATTGCACATAACAAATCCCCACTGGCAGAAAATTATATTTGAAATGGAAGGAATGCACATGCTAGCGCATTCCTTCCACTTTCAAAAATTTTTTTCGGAAAAGGTCACGTTTCAAATTTTTAAAAAGCATTCTTATTGTTTAATTGTAAATGATGTAATGACCGAAAGCTGTAATGTCTATTGTAAAGTTGTAGCATTTGTTTTCCATTAAATAACTTAATGACTGGAAATAAACTATTATAATGAACTACTTTATTTCAAAATGTTAGATCTCTGCTCCCTTTTCAATATTCAATCATTTCAGTTATAGTAAGTAATCTGATGGAAAACTGCAATTCATAATATTCTAAAAGATAAATATTAAACCAGGTCAAATGTTTTCAAAATGATATTATTAAAACAGCTTATAAATTATAAATCTGAGTTAGTTTATAACTTAATCAACATAAAAAATTATGAATCTTTACCTAAATCACAGAAATAATTGGCAAAATGTATACTACAAGAGACTTTATACAAATAAAAAATGTATAAAATATGATTTTTAATAAATAACTATAGCTAAATAACATCTGTGTATATACATTGTTCAAATAAATTAAAACTATGCTGTTCAATTTGAAGATGAATGTTAAATTAAAAAGAATTTACTGATTTTGTAGTTTTCTTCTTTATTCATAAATATTTTATTGTATTAAAACAATTTTTTGACTATTTAGTTTATACTAAAAACAAACCTTCTGATCTATTAGCAAAAACATCGTCACTCAGAGTAAATTAAACTTCTACCTCCAGGTAATAATGAGAAAGAATAAGACATCAAATGGCATCACTTATACAAAATGTATTTAAAAAAATGAGCAATTATTTATTGTGACATTGTCACAATGCCAAGGATGCAACTTATAATCATATTTTTAATTTATTTAATTTAAAATATATGCTCTCCACCTCAAATTAGTAGTGAATTGCCCCTGTACATCATACTTTTCTTTTAACAATAGAATCATGCCAGTCATCTATTAACTGCTTTCATGGGGAAAGTTTTGAATTGAAATACATGACTTCCAGTTTGCATTGGAAATTCTTATATAGTTAATCAAGGCTTCCTGCCCAGAGGTTTTCATATCTGGTCTTGTCTTTCATCTAACTCCATTCTCGAGATTAAGGAAAGGTAGACAAATGGGCGGATGACGGTTGGAATTTATAGGTCCGTAATTTTTTCAAATTACAGCCCAATAATAAATTTGAAATTTTAATTTGATGGATGTAGGACCTACAATTTCTTGGGTGGAATTTAAAAAGAGTTTTACATCTTCGATTACTTTCGCTAGAGGAATATCTGATACAAAAACACTATGGGTTATGAAGAATGTATCATTCTGATATGCAACACGAATATCTAAATANTGTATTAAAACAATTTTTTGACTATTTAGTTTATACTAAAAACAAACCTTCTGATCTATCAGCAAAAACATCGTCACTCAGAGTAAATTAAACTTCTACCTCCAGGTAATAATGAGAAAGAATAAGACATCAAATGGCATCACTTATACAAAATGTATTTAAAAAAATGAGCAATTATTTATTGTGACATTGTCACAATGCCAAGGATGCAACTTATAATCATATTTTTAATTTATTTAATTTAAAATATATGCTCTCCACCTCAAATTAGTAGTGAATTGCCCCTGTACATCATACTTTTCTTTTAACAATAGAATCATGCCAGTCATCTATTAACTGCTTTCATGGGGAAAGTTTTGAATTGAAATACATGACTTCCAGTTTGCATTGGAAATTCTTATATAGTTAATCAAGGCTTCCTGCCCAAAGGTTTTCATATCTGGTCTTGTCTTTCATCTAACTCCATTCTCGAGATTAAGGAAAGGTAGACAAATGGGCGGATGACGGTTGGAATTTATAGGTCCGTAATTTTTTCAAATTACAGCCCAATAATAAATTTGAAATTTTAATTTGATGGATATAGAATATATATTTATATTATTCATCCATTAGTCTAATTATTTAACCAAAATACTGGTTTTATAAAAATAAAAATCAAATTGCTTTTGCAATTTGTTTTTTATTTTGATTTTGGGATTTTGTTATATTTTTAATCTTTATTACTGTTTTATTACAATAAATTTTATCTTGTTTACAAATCTTTCTGTAATTACTTTTGGAATGCTTTATTTCGTTTTTTTTTTGTTCTGTTTGATATTTAATTTTCTTACAACAAAATAATTTTTTTATCAATAATATATCTAATCTATGATATTTTCTTACAATTTAAAAATTTTGTTTTAAATTCCTATATCATCATGAATGTGGAGGAGCTGGGCCTTAAGCATTGGAAGGTCCTCTACCATATTTTGCTTAAGAGACTAAAATCTAGTTACACCACTGATCTGTTTCCTTGAAAATAGTGTTTTGTGTGTCTGTCTGTTTTTATGCATTCATGCATATGTTTCTCTGTGTTAATGCATCTGTTTCTCTGTGCTAATGCATCTGTTTCTTGTGTTAATGCATCTGTTTCTCTGCATTCATACGTCTGTCTGTTTCTCTGCATTCATACGTCTGTCTGTTTCTCTGCATTCATGCATCTGTCTGTTTCTCTGCATTCATGCATCTGTCTGTTCGGTGACGAAGGTGAGTGCATCACATATATCGAGCACCTTTGAGGCTGTAATGCTGGCTAATTCGCTGCTTCTAAAAGAGGGCTTTAACATCCAACAGGTGCTCAATATACGTGATGCACTCACCTTCGTCACCGAGCACAATTACTTCCGTTTCAACCAAAACATCTGTCTGTTTCTCTGCATTCATGCATCTGTCTGTTTCTGTGTTCATGTGTGTGTATGTTTCTCAGTATTTATGTGTGTATTGTTATCCCATAATTAACTAGAATAGATGGGAGCCAATTAGGTTAAAATACTTTAACTTTATCAAAATCTACAAAAATTGAAAGCTCAGTTAAATATTTAAATAACATAATTTTTTTACTCCTCCAATTTACTTACCAATTTCATATTTATTCAATTTTTCCACACTTTAACTTCACAGCTAAAACCTTAAATAAATTCACTCGTACTCAAAACTTACAAACCGCGTGTTGTATTAGCGCCATCTAGCGAGCATTTCGTTTTATTATAACATTTAAATCATATGTTAAAATATTTACACACACACACATATATATATATATATCGTAATAAATAAATATATATATGTATTAATATTCAAATTACATAATAAACATCGAAAAAATTAATAATTGAATATAAAAATAATATTTAATAATAATACTCTTTTAAAAGTAAGCGTGGATGTATTTCCTGTAAAATGGCGTCTGCAATGAAGTGGGAAGGTAAATATAATTTCTTTTTGGACGAAATAAACACATTTATACGTTTAAATATTACATTACAGGTTAATTTTTACCAATAAGTTATATAATTTGTCGTCGGTGAATGCATAAATTAAACATTTATTAATAATATCATTTCTTAACATATACATGTGAAATTGTAAATTAAATACAGTGACTCAAATGATTGTTGACGTAAAAAAAAAGGTTGTTTACGTCATCAAATGGGTAAGATGTGAATTCTGAATGAGGAATCCCCTCTGGCATCAGCAAAAAAAAAAAAAAAAAATCAAAAGAACTGTACTTGTATGTGCGACCCTTTGCAAGATATTCATTCCAGAGGTCAGTTTTTACAGTGTACCTGTATACTGCCTTTTCTCCATGCAATGCATTTGTTGAGGCTGGTGTTAGCAAGCCTATGCTCCGTATGTGGTCGCGTGCTTTGGTGCGAGCCCCAAGCCCCCTAAAATTATTACGTCGAGTACTCTGTGAATGGTCGAGTGGTCTTCTCGAAGCTGGCATGGTCACCAGGGCTAAATAGTTAAATGCAATAGCCTTATTGGAACCACACGACTCTTGATTGCCCGTGAGCCAGAAGTGGGCTGATTTTGGGAGCCTTATCTGGGTCCTTTGACTTTTTTGCTCCTGTGGGTATGGTCTATGGCTCTGATAAGTCTCAACTGTCTTGTTTAGAGGTGTAATTGTACCATCAAATGTCCTTTAAGATGGAAAAATGTGTTTCAGAACAGTCCATATTTATATAATTGTCTATATATGCACTAGATATTAAGGTATACGTGAGATAATAACAATTGAATATTTATCGAATTGTTTATACAGCATACAAATAAACTATCTGTAAAAATTCTAAAGAAGGAAGGCAACTACATTTGTAAAGAAACAGCATGTTTTCATTAAGAATGTATTAATTATTTTAAAAATTAATTTAATTATTATTTGTACTATTTGTAAAGTAAACTTCATGTATTTTATATGCCTGTAACTCGCAATTTGTAAGAAGCCCGACCAAATGAGGACGGATAGACTGTCCAAAATGCATACTGTTATTGCAATAAATGACTGGTGTTTGTCCGTCTGTGTGATTTCTCCTGCTGCATCAATAATGTGCGATAAATCCTCCATAGAGTCAAAACTTAGCGCTCACATATTCAATTATAGTAATATAAGGACAAAAAGAATAGGGGCGAATTTTCTGAGCTTGCTTAGAATGCAACGTATGCTTAAGAGAAAGTTTTGATTGTCAATATATTTTTTATATGAGAACAAACATGCCAATAATAATTTATTCTAACATGTAAACTCTTTTATCATTTGTGTTTCCTTTTACATTGGCAGCTCCTGGCTAGCCGTTTTAAGTCAGTGCGATGCTTGCAGGAACTCGATTGCTTGCTCGTGTGGATGTTTTTCTGCAACAAACAAGTGCGCATGCATGACGTCATTCAAAGCATTTAACACAACCAGATTGTATTGAAAGCTTGCAGTACCCTGTTAGCATACTTGTATTGTGTACAAGTATGCTAACACACAATACAAGTATTGTGAGCAGATCTACATAGGGACTAATAAGTTAAGCTTTGAGCCCCCAGTGTCAAGGGCCCACAAAAATTGAATTATCATAAATTTTTAATACTTTTTCATTATAATATATTTCATGTGTAGAAATAATGGGCTTTATAATAGTCCATACTTTTTTATTTACACCAAATAACATTTCTGCCTATTGTTTAGTGCTAGAGATAGGCCTATTATTCTTATTATAACTTTCAGCATGGCCAAAAATTTTGGTCAGGATTCATCCCTGAAAAAGAACATCACCAACCAATGAATAACAATATTAACAACATACAGAAATTTAGAACAGAAAAGTCTGCATAAAGTACAAATTGTTTAGAATAAACTTAACCAAATTCATGTAGTATTTTGTACCCAAATCCTTTTTGTCTAATTCTTCCATTTTCTCGTTGATGAAACTAGTTTTGAAGTGTCTTCTCCTATATTGTACAATTCTTCTCGCAAGGTCCTCTAGCCTCTAATGTAACTTTAGATGTGATATAATGTGGGATTAAGGTAGGATGATTATGGAGGTATACACAGTTGTCTTTGAGCATTATGCAGTAAACATTCTCACACAATATGTGAAGAATGCTTGAGTCCTGTTGGAATTTGAAGTTATTCTCTAATCCCAATTTCTGCACGCTACTATTTAAATTTTCCTTTAAAATATTTAAATAATCACATCTGTTCATTATGCTATTGATGAATTTTAATGTTTTGACTCCGCCAGCTGCCATATGCCTCCTCACCATTGCATTACCACCTCCATATTTAACAGTTGCACTTGTATTCTTTGCTTGAAATATTATGCTGGGCTTTCACCATATGTTCTCTTCTATCAGAGTCAAATATATTAAATTTATTTGTCACTAAACAACATGTACTTTCAAAAGTCTTCCAATTTTCCTACATATTCATGTGCAGATTCTAAACACTTTTTATTTATTTTAGAAATCAATGGTTTTCATCTGGTAGTGCATCCATGATAATTAAACCATCATAAAGCATTGCATATTGCTTCTGTACTAACCATTTTATTCTCAGATATGGCAATTTCTGCTGCTATTTTTGTTGCATTTTAAGTTTATTTTTACTTCCTTTTTTTTTTTTTCAAGATGTGAATATTTTTGTGAAGTATTAGAAGTGAGCCTAGAATTTGTGCAAAGAAAGAAAATTTTTTCTAATTTTTGTATAAAAGGAAATAATAATAATAATTATTATTATAATNTGTGAAGTATTAGAAGTGAGCCTAGAATTTGTGCAAAGAAAGAAAATTTTTTCTAATTTTTGTATAAAAGGAAATAATAATAATAATTATTATTATAATGTTATAAAAAGAAACCATCAAACAAAAAATGAATATTTTATGTTCATATAAAGACATGTCTATAGAAATTTCTAAGAAAATCAAACTACAATAGATGAATTTGAGTGCTTAAATTGAACATCTCCGTTAGGAATCGAATTGTCAGTCAATGTTGACTCACCCCACGATCTGGGTTCCGATCTCAGATATGGCAATTTCTGCTGCTATTTTTGTTGAACTTTGAGTTTATTTTTACTTCCTTTATTTTTATTTTTTATTTATTTTTTCTTTTTTTACAATTCGTAACGAGGAGGGGGTCCAATTGGAGAGGGGGGGCAAATCGGCATCAACTTATCGGAATGTTCGATCTGGGACCCAAAGGAAACTTATAAAAACTGCAAAAAAAAAGGATATGACGTTCTTGGTGCTTGGATGTCTAGTTAGCGACTCCCCTACTTTGGTCGTGTGTTTGCAGCATTAGGAAGTTAAGAAGGGATTCCACGTAGCTCAGATAGCAATCAACATATGAGGGCGAAGGCCGGCGAAGGAAATCCAATATTGACACAGAAGCGCTCCTCAGGGTCAACGAGTGACCATCAACCCATACAAGGGCGCCCAGGATCAGAAGTCTGAGACTGACAGACATTACGTTGTTGGACTATTATATAATTATTGCAACCAGGATCCCGACATTTCAAAGATTTTGTAAAAAACTATTTTGACGTTATTAAACAGGTAAAGAATGGGAAAACCTGTTTCTGTGAGTTCTGCTGCGCCCATACGACAGAGCTGACCGCTCGACTGTTGCGACACTTTTCACACAATCGGCAAACCTCACATTTTTTATCTTCTTGACCAAGAGAGTACACTACCTGTTGCTCCCTTTGCAAGATATTCATTCCAGAGGTCAGTTTTTACAGTGTACCTGTATACTGCCTTTTCTCCATGCAATGCATTTGTTGAGGCTGGTGTTAGCAAGCCTATGCTCCGTATGTGGTCGCGTGCTTTGGTGCGAGCCCCAAGCCCCCTAAAATTATTACGTCGAGTACTCTGTGAATGGTCGAGTGGTCTACTCGAAGCTGGCATGGTCACCTGGACTAAATAGTTAAATGCAATAGCCTTATTGGAACCACATGACTCTCAATTGCCCGTGAACCAGAAGTGGACCGATTTTGGGAGCTTTATCTGGGTCCTTTGACTTTTTTGCTCCTGTGGATATGGTCTATGGCTCTGATAAGGTCTCAACTGTCTTGTTTAGAGGTGTAATTGTACCATCAAATGTCCTTTAAGATGGAAAAATGTGTTTCAGAACAGTCCATATTTATATAATTGTCTATATATGCACTAGATATTAAGGTATACGTGAGATAATAACAATTGAATATTTATCGAATTGTTTATACAGCATACAAATAAACTATCTGTAAAAATTCTAAAGAAGGAAGGCAACTACATTTGTAAAGAAACAGCATGTTTTCATTAAGAATGTATTAATTATTTTAAAAATTAATTTAATTATTATTTGTACTATTTGTAAAGTAAACTTCATGTATTTTATATGCCTGTAACTCGCAATTTGTAAGAAGCCCGACCAAATGAGGACGGATAGACTGTCCAAAATGCATACTGTTATTGCAATAAATGACTGGTGTTTGTCCGTCTGTGTGATTTCTCCTGCTGCATCAATAATGTGCAATAAATCCTCCATAGAGTCAAAACTTAGCGCTCACATATTCAATTATAGTAATATAAGGACAAAAAGAATAGGGGCGAATTTTCNTTTCCGACGCGTGAGCTGGCCACATACAGTTGTCCATGCGAGAAGCACGGATTCTCCAAATCTAGCCCACACACTTGCAGCGATTGTCAGAAGTGCGATATTCCCTATTTTTATATATATATTTTTAATCCTTTACAATTTTAATTATTTAATTGCTCCTTCCTCTCTTCCTTGGCATGTGAAATTTCTGATAGTTGGTTAATAAACCGTTTTATTGTAATTTGTCTTTTTAAATTATTTTGAGTCGATATTAAAATTTAGAAAAGGGGGATCCCTAAATCGGTAAAATAGGCAAATTTCCTTCTACAACTTCGGTTGTTGTTCGGGATACATTTAAGGTTTTAACAAAGTTCAAGCGAATACATAATTAGCAAAAAATAGTTGAAATAAAGTGATTAAACAAAAATTATTACAAATATCGTAAATAACAGTTCACAAATGCATATATAGAGATATTTATTGGAGGAGGAAATGGTCTTCACAATTTGAAATCAATCGAACACACAGTGCTCGAATGCTTGTATAAACGCGCGCCATCTATCGTAGGATAAATGTACTATGCCAGAAACCATCGCGGGAGTGTATTAAAAAACTTCCCAAAGTTTCATGGCAATCGTATTATGCCAGAAACCTGTGCGGGAGTATACTAAACAACTTCCCAAAGTTTCATGGCAATTGGATAAACGGTGTGGTAATGCATGAAGGACATAAGACAGACACACAGACAGACATACATTCATTTTTATATATATAGATTATGGCTAGTAATAATGGATAAATTTGAACTTTCAGAGGTATTTTATGGTTTGAGTTTGAAAAAGAATCTTCTTGTGCAGACTTTTTTGGCATGCATTTTGTGAGGAGATTTGTTTTATGTTTATCATGTTTATATATATTCATAAACAATATATTAAGCAATTTATTAAATCTAAAAAAATGGAAGTAACAAATAATAATTGAGGTCTTCTGAGACATTTTAAAAATTATTAATTGATATAAGCAGAGTTTTTTGAATTACTGTATTCTCTTTTTGGTATTAAAGTTACTTTTAGATAGTTTATGTGCACACTTATGTTTACATTATGTTGACATTCCAGAAGCTTCAAGTTGATTTTTATGATTGAATTATGTAATTTTGTTTATAATACTTTTTATTATCATTAGAATAATTAATAATACTTACTTTTAAAAAACATTTCAGTTTATAAGTGAAATTTTCACAAATTATCTTATTGAAAGCTATGCACAAAGTAAACTTATATTAATAGAGATTCTAATTATTATAGAGTATCTGATGATTAATAAAGAATTTTATGTAATTAATATACTTATATTAATATCATTGTTATAATATGAGTGTGTTGTTCTTAAAATACTTTGAAATAATTTACAAAATTAAGTGGAGAATATACAGGGTATATCAGAATGACATTTTAAAAATTTGGGAGCTTGTTGAGGATGAAATTTTGAACGTTTTGATATAAGGAACCTATAGCCTAAAATTTGAACTAAAGTGTATACAGCGGTAGGAAGTGCATGACCGCCCTTCACTTTGGTAGCTACCCTTCCGTCCATTGACATCATGTTATTGCTGCGGATGAAAGACTTTAAATACATAACTACAGTAGTCTAACTGAGCCCGTATACAGGACGTTGTGTACTTAGTGCTTGTCGTCCTTCAGGTCACCCCTTGCATCCACTGGCACCGTGCTGTAAACACACAGCTAGTCAACGTGAGTCCCTTGTGTACGCAATAACTGTAGGAACAGTTCATAAGCTTACGGAGTGCATCTTTACGGCATTTAATACCATCAGAGGGGAGTATGGCATCTTACAGAGAGTCTGACAAAACATGGTTTGTGGTTGCACATTATGTAACGAAGTTGGTGGTTGTCACATTGAACATTTACTCTAAAGTAGTGCATCCACTGATTCAATGTATAATTTGATTGTACTTTACTGTTTTGTCAATAAAACTTGTCATAGATACTGTATTCTGCTGTTTCATTCAGCATACCAACTGCATAGAACATGCAAATTGCTGTAGAAACTTTATATCTCATTTTCAGCTATAGGCTTTTTATACCAAAATGTTCAAAATTTCATCCTCTACAATTCCCCAAATTTTTAAAACATCATTCTGATACATCCTGTATAAACAACTCTAAGTCCGAAAATTGTATTAAAGCAAAATGATTACCATTGTGGGTTTGAGTCCAATTCTTTTCTTCCAAAATTTTCTAAATTATTTAATAAATTAATTAAATTGTACTTAATGTAATACTCCTTGTAACAAACTAAGGTTCATACAATAAAGAATTGAATTGAATTATATATTTAATCCATAAACAAATATCAGGATGAGAAAATTGTTGTAATATTTATCATTTTGGTTTTCTGCAGATTGAGATGTATGTGTATTTTTATACAGATCTGTGCAAGAGCCTTCTGGCATCTGGAAATGTGGAGGGGAAGAATAAGGTGTAAAAGAATAATATAATAAATATAAAATTGTGCCAATGAAAGTAAAGTCTTTTTTTGTGTGCACAGCATAAATGATAGTGAGCATTAAAGGCCCTGAAAAGTCATATTTTGGCAAGATTTAGTGTTTAAAATATATGCTAACATTGTATCATTAAATTGTTCTTATCTATAATTTTTAATAGTTCTTTAGAATTGTTGTTTTTTCCTATTTATTGTTTCTGTTTTCCATTTCCTTAAAAAACAATGCCTTGAGGTTTTACTGTATAAATAAATACATATATGTTTTAGCATCTTCACCATAATTACTTTTGCAGAAATTTATTTTGCAAATCTGATTGTAATACTTTGGTGAAAGTACTAAAGCATTAAGTCATAGTAGTAATATTTTTCAAAAAGAAATATAATTTGTTCTCACTTGTCAGAATACTTTTAGTTGTTTTAGATTTTATTAAATTAACTTTATAAATAGCATAACTATGTATAAATTCATGAAGCCGATTTTATTTTTTAATTCATACATTACAGAAGAGAAACTTTACTGATATCATCGATGATCAATAATTTTTTTTTATAATACATTAATCAATAATTGTGATCAATAAAAGTTCTTCAATAGAAGAATAGTTCTCTAAAAAAAGAAATTATTTAAGAATAAATCTTATATAATTTCATAGAATAACATGCATTTAATAATTATTGCTTTTTAAAAACAAAATAACATCTCATATCAGGTGGTGCCACATACAGTTTTTTAACTTTGAGTAGTCATAGTGTTTTTTTTAAACTAAAATATATTTCTATATGGAGATTTTTAACAATTCACAAAATTACTCCTTTTAAGCTTTTAATTATCACTTAAATTGCATATTCTAGTATAATTGAAAATTATTGAACATTTTAATGGTTCCTTTAACTTCCTGTTTGAGTATTAGGAAAGTCAAGTAAGAGCCTTTGCCAGCTTTTTTTAAACAGGTTACATCCGATTTCAGATGGAACTCATAAGACTGCATAATGTACTGTGGATTGCATAAGTGTACAAATTTAGTACACATGCACCAATAACATGTAAATTGTATCTTAGATAACGTATGTATTGAGAGAATGAAAAATATATTTTCTTAACTAATAAGTTTAATTCTTTTATTATGAATTTCATCATTTTATATTTTGTCAGGCCTCACTAGAAGCCAAAAAGGGCTGAAGACTACCCACCCCTGGAGTATGCAAAACAATATCAATAATGATAAAAGTCATTTTGAATTATCTTGCATTTTAAACATAATTTTTATAAATAACTCAGCATTAACAATCTCTGGTAAAAAGAATAATCAAAACTTATTTACTGTAAAAGAATTTTATTGGGCTGCAATTTGAAAAATTTGTAGACCTATAAATTTCCTTTGTTGTTCAACTGTGTGTCTTTCCTTAATCTTGAGAAGGGAGTTAGAGAGATGAAAGATGAGACCAGATATGGAATTTTAGGGGCAGGAGGTTCTGATTAACTATATACAAACTTCCGAAGGAAACTGGAAGTTATGTTATTTCAATTCAAAAGTTTTCTCCCAAAAGGAGTTAGATAGTAAAATTGGATATATTTAATTGAATCTGGTTAATTAGTAGGCTGAAAACATTCCTAATAAATTCTTATCTTTAGCTTTTTTAAGTAAGCAGTTTGAATTTTCTTTTATTTAAATATGGTGCTGAATTTCATTAATTTTTTAGGGAGATAAACTAGGGATTCCACTCCTGATCATTTTTTGGTAGTCCAGCCTATGTTTTGTATTGCTTTGCAGCACAAAACATCCATACTGCATTTTATAATTATTCTTTATGTAAACTATATAATAATAGTTTTAAATATATGTTGACTAAATAATTATAAACAATAAAAAACTAATAAAGAATAATTAATAGTAGCACAAGTTATAAAGTTTTCAAAAAATATTCAGATGTCACATAAACGAATCGACTACTCGGATGCCTGGTGCTTTTTAAGCACCGAGGGTTGAACTTTGACACCTCGTAGGGCCTAAAATATTTGAATTTTTTTGAGATTTTATATTTTTCTGCTAATATATTCAATGTCCTCTTTCAATTGTTCCAATTTTTCTTCTTTTAAGTTTGTTTCTTCTTAAACTGTGTCAGCAAGTGAATCAGTCAATGAGGATGATGCACTTTTGTTATTAAACCTATATTTGTTCTCATTAGCAAAGAGAGAAATTGCATTTTATAATCATAGGCAAAAAGATATCTACTTTTACTTTTAAAATATATTTTTACACAACTTAGATAATGTAAATAACATAGAATATAGTAAAAAGTATTAACCAATTTTCATCATATAGATTAATTTTATTTTCTCAAATTAATGATATAAATTGATATAATTTGATGAAAATTTTCAGATGCAAGAAATAAATTACGTCAGTGGAGAGATGAAAATGTCAGATCATCCGAGGAAGTAGTAGATATATGGAAAGACTGTTTGAGCAAATATATTAACAAGTTGGGCGATGAAAGTATGTTTATGCCATTATATCATTAAATTTTTTTATATAAATCTAATAATTTTATATTAAATATTTACTATAACAGATTAATTTATTTAATCTCTGCTTTGGTTATTGTTTGTACACTTTTTTTTACATGAAAAATTTTTTTCTCTTTTTTTAGAATGGTTGGTTTATGAACAAGTATGCATTGCAGCATTAGATATTCATGCTCTTGATGTTGTTCAGGTGTGAAACAAAATTATAATTAAACTTTATTTTAGTATTTTTTAATGTAAATAAATGTAATAATGTTTAAATTTAATTTTTATAATAAGAAAGCAGTTCCGAAATATAGTAATTTATTTATTCAAATATGAATAAATCTTTTTACTAAATTTTTAAAATAAAACCTCTCATTTTTTAAAATATTTGAATCCTACTTTTCTTTCTTCAGGAATGCTTGCAAGCATTAGATCACCAGTTTCCTGGGAGTCTTCGAATACGAAAATTAAAAGCTATGAGACTAGAGACGCTGGATAAGTAAGAAGAAAAATTTGAATTTTATTTATAATATTAAGTAATGCATATAAATTTAAGATGCGATTGTATAGAGGTTATTTTTTTTTTAATATTGTCCTGATATATACTGATTATTTATTTATACAAATGTTTACACAGTCAGAATGAATTATTTTTTAGCAAGCAACAGATACTGTGTAGCCAGTTTTATAACACAAATTCAGTCTAACATTCAGATAAAATATAAATTTGATTAAAAAATAATTAAATCTATATGTAACATTTAAAAATTTATGAAATTCCACTTGTAATGATAATAGAAACGTTGCGGTGCAAGTTCAAATGTTACTTGTACATGGCATGCAGAAGTACACGGTTTACATTTTAACTCCAAGAAAAAATTCTGCATGTTCACAACATCACGTGACTCAGTGAATATCGCACATTGACTCACGGGAAATTTGTTGAAAAAATGGCAGATACATTTAACATCGAGGGTTACCAGTGAAGGTAAATAAACAAATTAAACTATTTTAAAGTATTTATAGGATGTTTAATAACACTAAATAATTATTTTTAATTAGCATGGTGTCTCCTACTGTACGATTGGACTACCTCATACTTTTGTCAAGGGAAGTAGTGGCTTATGTAAATTTGAAAGCAGCTCGGAAAATTAATTTTTAGAAAATTTACAAATGTATTACACTGTTGATGGTAGAAGATGCCGTGGAAGAACATACCTACCTTAAGATAAGCTATTATTAAGGCAAATATATATAAATTCTATAGGCACTTCACATCACTTGCTAAAAAATTGAATAATTAAATCATTTCTGGATTAAAATCATCTGTTTCTTTACAATATTATTCGTAAATGCTTAAATAATCATTATTTTAATAAAATAGGTCATAATTTTAACTCCAAACACAAAAAAAAAATGAAGAAGTTTAAACTGATCTTCTACTTGCCAAGCTAGATGTAGCGAGTGCCATTATCAACCATCTAGAATTGCCAGATAGCGGTGCTCGACCATCCACCGTTTACATTTTGGGCTAATTATGATGGTCACAACCTCTCTAATAATAACAACAATGTTTGTGATTAGATTTCTTTGTTGGACAGTATTCTTAAGTAATTCTAATACTTTATATATTAGAGAGCATGAGTAATTGTTAACATATACAGTGGAACCTCGGTATACAACCTTAATCCGTTCCTAATGTTTGGACTTATACCAAATTGGATGTATATCAAACCAACCTATCCCATAAGAAGTAATGTAAAAATGATTAATCTGTTCTCATGTAAAAAAAAAATGGCTAGCTTTAAGCTCCTCGCTTTCCTTGCTAGTTTCTACTTGATTTTTCATGAGATCAGCATGTATCTTTTTAGCTTTCTCACAAATAATTGCTTCCAATATGCTGTCTCCAGCACATTGTTTTTCAGTTATCCAAAGCAAAAGCAATTTCTCAACATGATCTAATGTCTTCGATCTCTGTTTAGAAATTGATTTAACTCTTTTCGCAACGTTAGCAGATTTAATAATGTCTTTGTTTTTCACAATTGTCGATATCATCGTTCTCAGAATACGGTATGCAACAGTTAAAATCTCAAACACGCGTGCCACCTTCATATTTCTCGACAATCTCTTTTATTAGTTTCATTGTGATTCTAGTCATTTTTTTAGTTTTCTGTTGCTTTTCATTTGCCTTCTTGCAATTCATGATTAATAATAAAATTTTACTTAGAAATTAAAATCAGAAGAAATCTNTTTTTTTTTTTAACTCTTTCCACCCTGTGGGCACTAAGAGAGCCTTTTTTTTGCAAGCCCATTATGGGTTCGGCCAGGCCCACAATGGGGCTGCCGGGTGGTGAGGGACAAGGCCCGAAATATCTGAACAGACACAGACCACCCTCCAAAAAATTCCTGGGGATTTTTCGACCTGTTCGGATTTGAGCCCGGGTCCCCCAGAGCGGTAAGCTGACACCTTGACCGCTCGGCCATCTGGCCACTTCTAGTCTGGTCTAGTACACCAATAGTGCTACTTATTCATAGATGGCATGTATAATTGAATTAAGTCGTATACTGAGCAAAATTTGTTTCGTCCAAACAAGACATATTCCAAATTGGGCGTATTCTAAAGCAGACATATACTGAGGTACCACTGTATATAGTCACATCAAATAAATTCATTATCTGACAAAAAAAACTAATATTTTGGTTACTTCAATTAATCTTTGTTTATTTACTGATTGTAGATAGCAACATAATATATCATAAGCACATTATATATAATAGATTTGGCAAAAGTATACTCTCAATAGTACAGGTTTTAAATTTTTATATAGTTTACAGATTACATATATATATATGTTACTGTGAATGACCGATATCTGGCAAATGTCAACATTCTCCAGTGAATGTCAGCATTCACACAATCGTTTCATGTATGTACGAAATATTTGCTAAATATCATTATTTCTAACTTACACAGGCAAATGTCGACATTCAGCATGCACTGATGGTGAATGTTAAATAAAAATATTTTTATTACGTTAGGACAAAAATGCAACTTTTTAATATGTCAAAATAGGAGAAGGCTTAAGTAACAGCACATGTAAATAAACTGTTGAACCTAAAACAAACAGCACATTCTAAATCATTAAAGAAAATAATAGAATAATAAACTTACACATAAATTATGTGATTAACATTATACAATCTTATTTATTGCAACAACTTAAACTGTTATGGCATTTTGAATTGCACAAGAGTCCCTTGCTTTTACAATTGCATTTATTCGTGGAACACTTATTTTTGCAATGACAGCATGTATAGCCTTGCCCTCCACTTTTCAAATTAGCTGCAGCTGCTTCTCTTGGCGATATTTCTTGTGAAGAAATATCATCTATGGAAAGTAAAGTAACTTTTCTTTACAAATTACGAATTGATTACGGGAATAAAGCTGCTTGAGGGTACCATTTTTGTTTGCTAATTTATAAAGTCGAAGTCTTCTATTCCAACACAACCGCCAACACATTTTGGGCATCTGTACAGCCATGGTCGACACCAAGGACTTGTATTCGTATGGTGTCACCAATTTGAGCAGAAGGAAATTTTCTTTTTGAGGTTTGTAACATTTTCATTGCTTGCAGTAGAAGATTCTCTTTCGCGGCCGTTCGTTTTATAGAAATAACTTCGTGTTGTTCAGTCAGGGCTTGATATGAAGATGTGGTGGATTGCAGCTTCTCTTCAATATTTTCCTTTGGAATATGGTATTCGTTATGGCCACTGCTCAAATTTTCTTCAAAAGTATTAACAATTTCTTCGACCTCCACCAAAGCTTATCTGTGTTTGTTGACATACACCGGCGATTGTTCGAATGTATAATAATATAACCAAATATTCGGTCTTTCACTGATGTATTTTGTATGTGTCGACATTCTCTAATTTCGGTCTTTCACAGTAACATATATATAATCTGTAAACTATATATATATGAGCTATATAATACAGCTTATTTTGAAAATTTCTGTATAAATGCCTGACTTTTCAATAATAAGTGAAAAACATTTATCTATCTTTTAAATATTTTTAACAAACTTTTTCTCTTACATAAACATTTAAGTGCTAGAAGCCAATTGTTAATTTATTATTAATTAAAATAATTAGGGAATGAATAATAATCTTTCATTCTTAACAAAAAACAAATTTTTCAATCTAAAATCACGACCACAGAATTAAACTTTTGACATTTTATGTTACCAAACTTTAGTAGAAGCTAGAAAAGGCTGCATGCATCTCAAAGGTCACATGTTTCCCAGCTTTATATTCAGTAATATAGGCAATAAAAAACATAGTAGTAGTGTCATCTCTAAACAAAAAAGCTTAATAGAAAATAATAGTTCATTTTTTGTTTTTATATTACTTTCTATGAAGCTTTTTCTGTTTTGAAAAGATAATATTTGATTCCTTCAAATGAAACATAGACATGTTTCATTTGTTAGTGTTGCACTTCAAATGAAGCATAGACATATATAACACTAACAATATTGAGGGAGAGTAACATGCCACAATACAAACAGAGGTGACGTGTATCTTACACAGTGAATGAGTCATTCAGTGTCAAGTGCATCATGTCTGTAAATCCTTAAATATACAACAAATCATATACAGTACTTGCATTGGGTGTCCGAGTCTATGTTTCATTTGAAGGAAACAAATGTTACTGATTTAATTAAATAAGTGAATAAATATGTATAATATTTAGTCATATATCTTTTAGCTCAATATTTATAAATCTTTATGGAAATATTTATCATTAATTTTTATATTTTAATATTTTCTTCCTTTATTAGATAATGCTTATACTGTTTAGTTTTCATCAACAATGAGCATTATATTAAAATTATTTACATTATTTAATATTCTTTAATAAAATCAAATATTCCAATGCAGCCATATTTATATACACTTCTATATTTACATATATTTTAAAATTATTATTTGATAAAATAAAATATCTTTGTAGACCTGAAGATGCTATAAAAGTGTACGATTCAATCCTTCAGCATGACGAATCAAATTCTGTTATTCATAAAAGAAAAATAGCCGTTCTGAAAGCTCAAAACCAGATACCTGAAGCCATAAAAGAATTAAGTGATTATTTAAAGAAGTAAGAAAATTTCAGATTGAAACATTAATATTTGTAAATATGTACTAGAAAAAATATCCTACATATAACCATATTCTCCAACATACTAAGCCCCCATAAATATGGTTCTATGGAGGAAATTAGTGTGTGCAGAATTTACCTTTAATAAAAAAACATGCGGTGTATGGCAGTAGTTCTTAACCTTTTTATACTTATGGCCCCCACCAAATATTTCATAACTTTTTGTGAACCCCATTTTTTAATAATAATTTATATTTGTTAAATTATCTATAATAAATTGATTTTTTTTATTATTGCTTTATTTTTTTTATATAATAAATGTAAAACATAACTTTATTATTTCATTATCTATTTAAATAACATTCAAACTTCACAATTAATATTCAAACATAAAAACTCATTAATTTTTAACAAAAAATAAAATAAGAAACATTTAAAAATTCATAGAAAAAACAAAAAATACTTTATTTGAAAATAATTTAATGAGATTTCTGCTGCTGAATATCCTCAACTAATTTGTTAAATAAAAAAAACTAAATACGAAAACTTTATCTTTCTTATTTCACTTTTCAATATGATATTCCATTATACATCAATATTCTGAAGGAAATTTTGCATAATTTGGTGGTTCCCTGGCAAACTTCTTATGGACCTGTAGGGGGCCGCGGCCCCCTGTTAAGAAACACTGGTGTATGGTATAGATTTATTTATATTTGTGTTTTGTTGGAATGATGATGATAACTAATGATATTCAGATGAAAAATTTTACTAAAACCACAATCATGCAACGTGCATGATTGTGGTTTTAGTAACATATTCACCTTTATAACAATATATTTTAAATCTGCATCATACATGAAATAATGTTATTTCAATGTTATAAGTATATAAATAATATACTTAATATATATATAAAAAATATGTTATAAGTATAATGTTATTTATAATCATATTTAGTAAAAATATATTTTTGTACAAAAGAACTATTAAACTTTATTTTATATTAGCAATGCTTTTTTTTCTTGAAGATTTATGAGCGATCACGAAGGCTGGATGGAATTGTGCGATCTTTACTTGCTCGAACAAGATTATTCAAAAGCTGCATTTTGCATGGAAGAATTGATACTTTCAAATCCTCATAATCATTTATATCACCAACGATACGCAGAGGTATAAAAATCCCTATTTTCTCAAATTAAACTTATTTTTCTTAAAATATAACCATTTAACAGCAATTATTTTCATAATACAGTGGAACCTCGGTATACAACCTTAATCCATTTCCAATGTTTGGACTTATACCGAATTGGACGTATACCAAACCAACCTTTCCCATAAGAAGTAATGTAAAAATGATTAATCCATTCTTGTGTAAAAAAAAAAATGGCTGGCTTTAAACACCTCGCTTTCCTAGCTAGTTCTGCTTGATTTTTTGTGAGATCAGCGTGTATCTTTTTAGCTTTCTCGCAAATAATTGCTTCCGATACACTGTCTCCAGCACTGTTTTTCAGTTAGCAAAAGCAAAAGCAATTTCTCGACATGATCTAATTAATGTCTTTGATCTCTGTTTAGAAATTTATTTAACCCCTTTTGCAACATTAGCAGATTTAATAATGTCTTTATTTTTCGCGATTGTCCATATCGTCGTTCTCAGAATACGGTAGGCAACAGCTAAAATCTCGAACACGCGTGCCACCTTTGTATTTCTCAACAATCTCTTTCATCAGTTTCGTTGTAATTATAGTCATTTTTTTAGTTTTCTGTTGCTTTTCATTTGCCTTTTTGCGATTCGTGATTAATAAAAATAATAAAATTTTACTTACGAATTAAAATCAGAAGAAATTTAACAAAGTTATAAACCATTGCACCGCGAACGTCTAGTCTGTCTAGTACACCGATAGTGCTACTTGTTCATTGATGGCGCGTATAATTGAATTACAGTAGAGCGTCGTTTATCCGAATCAATTGGGGACTGGGGTGGTTCGGATAACTTATTTTTCGGATAACGAATCATGTACGAAAAAATATATTAATTTATCCCATGTTGAAATTTTTCTCCGTTGCGTGTCGCTTTGCGTTGAATTTTCGTCGATGTTAAGCCTAACGAAGACTATTGTATCGTTAAAAATTATTTTTTTATTTTGTACAAACAAAATAAATTTATTGAAAAATATAAAAACAATAAAAAATTATACTTCAGATGTTAATTTAGTATCAAAAACGTAAAATATTTGAGTAGCCCGAGAAATAGCCGAAGATTGCAGCGCCACATCACTAGAGAAAATTTAAATTTGCCGACTGGAATGCTTTCGGATAACGGACGTTTCGGATAAACGACGCTCTACTGTATGTCGTATACCAAGCAAAATTTGTTTTGTCCAAACAGGACGTATTCTGAATTGGTCGTATTCTAAAGCAGACGTATACCGAGGTACCACTGTATTTTGGTTTAATAGCTTTGAATTTTTCAAAGAATAAATTTTATAATCTTTAAACTGAGTAATTAAGCATATTATGTAGCCTAGGTTAATGCAAAAGGCAAAGTAATTTAAAAGCAAAGTTTAAAAGCAATGAATTTTTCAAAGAATAATTGTTAAAGTAACTAATGACTGGTACAGTAGAGTCCCGCAAACTCAACCTAACATTTGACTGAAAAGGTGACGAGTTATAAAAAATAAAAAAGTTTTACAAACTCCTGCGTTAACAGTACAGTGAGAGAAATGAAATTGTGTTAAAATGCAGGTCAAATTTGACCATCTTTTCATCAGCAGGAGCATGTTGCCAACCATAAACAAATTTGTTAATTTAGCAGAATTCTAACATAAAGTGGCATAGCAACGACACTAGTCTAAATAGCAAAATATTCATAAAGGTATTATATGTGCAAATTCATCTATGTATTAACTATGTAGCATTAGTGACTATTTATATTTGTACTTGTAGCCAAATTTTAATTCAAAATAAAATTAGCTATTCAGTGGCTACTTTAGAGTTAGTGACATTTGCAGTGGCACATAAAAAGGGTTATATTCTTTAATATTTGCAATTGATGCTTGTTATCAAGCCTTGCTGGTGAAGAATAATACAATCAAATACATGTAATCTAATTTTTATATATATAACTTATTTTGTTTATGAATTACATGGCAAGTTTCCAGGACTCCACTATATAACAATTGTGAGAAACATGAATTTATTATTAAAAATGGAAAAATAACTGCAGTTAGATAAATTACATACATGCCTAGCTAATTTTTTTTCTCTTATAGAATTGATAATTTTAGTTGGCTGTGAAAACTTAATTTAGGAGTTTCTCCAGAATAATGTGAATACATGATTACAGAACAGTAAATACATGATAGAAATTTCTAATTTTTACTTCATTTAAACATAAAAATAGCAGACTAATCCTCTTCTAATTAATAAGATTACAGTAATGTAAAATTTATATATTGTAATAAGTTCAATTGAATCTGGAAAAAATGGCTTCAGAATCTGTATAATTTCAAAATTACCAGATAACAATACTATAGCTGTGTATTATATAATGAGTATATTTAAGATGTTTAATAATTGCAAATATTTATTCCATTTTTAGATCCAATATACTATTGGTGGATTTGAAAACATCGAATTGGCTAGAGCATATTTTTCCCAAGCATTAAAATTAAATCCTCACAGTACAAGAGCACTGTTTGGTCTATTTTTGGTAAAACATGTTAATTATGAATACTTAATGCAATTAGCTATAATTTCCTTTTAATGTAAATACATTTACATCCTTTCAGGCGGCAACTAGTATCGTATCTTCTCCAAAGTGTATAGCTCAGAAAAAAAGGGAAAACATAAAATATGCTACTTGGGCAGCACAGAAAATAACAAAGAAATATCAGGTAAAAATATTGTTTATTTACAAATTTCTAAAGAGAAACAGTAAACCGACAGTAACTATTATACTATTTTCCATAGGAAAGTTTGTGTGAAGATTATCAATTGAAATCTCTAGAAGGACTGCTCAGTTCTCTACAGATATCTTAATTGATGGTGAAAATTTGTTTACGTGATTTTATTCAAAGGAGTATCTCAGTTATTTGTTAAACTTTTATTTACTGTACATCAGGATTTATTAAAATAATTGTTTTCAGAAACGATTTCGTAAATTATCCATTATGATCCGAATCTTTGGTCTTCTTCAGTGCTTGGAAAAACTTGTGTCTGAATTGACTGGTCGTTTCCGGTACCGTAGCATCCATATTATCCATAAGCTGAAAAGAAATGAAAGAATATTTTTAATCCCTTATTAGTAATTCATTCATCAGACAGTATTAAAACATATTTTATATTAACTTTGAATCAAAGAACATACAACAAATATTCAATTTTTTTCAAATATTCTTTAGAACTATACATTCCATACAAAGAGTATCTTGCAATTGTTTGTTTAATGGGTAAAAAAGCAACAGGAATATTGAAAGTACTCTGTATGCTACATAAATTTGTGCCATGAAATAATTATGTACAAATTAAAAAGTAATATATTAAATTTAGCTGTATGTGTGTGTTGAAAAAGTATCCTATTTTAACATATCCTTATACTTATTAAACAAAAAAAAATCCTTATACACTAAATAAGGACCATGCAATATCTAACAAGAGAGATTACATCAATATTCGCTTTTATTTTAAAAAATATGATTTGTCCCAAAAAGTAAGTGTACTGGTTTTTTATTTAATGACAATAATGTGTTAAGCTGCACTGCACAAATTGGTATTTTATGTTGCTAGATATCTTAGCACATATATAAACCTGTTTCAAGTAGATCGGTTAAGTCAAACAGGCACAATTTCTGTGTAAGACAATGTTTTAACACATCGTTACATTTGAAATGGAAAAAATCTCCAACATTGTTATGCTATCAAAGTTTTGTATGAAATTCAAGAAATTCCAACCAAGATATTTGCAGATTTAACCAAAGCTTATGGAGAAACATGGTGTTTAGATGACACAAAGATCCAGGGTAAAGACAATGCTTATCGTTTTTTCGATAGCTGTGGAATTGTACATGAAGAATTTTTACCTTCAGGACAGACAGTTAATCAGGCCTTCTACAAAGATGTCTTGGAACAACTTCAAAAACAGGTCAAGCAAGTCTGCAGGGACAGCAGAAGATTGGATGCTGCACCATGGTAATGCACCTGCTCACACAGCACTATCAATTCAAGACTTTTTAGCCAAGAAAAATCGCCACAACATCCCTACAGCCCAGACCCAGCTCTGTGTGACTTCTAGCTATTCCCTAAGATAAAATCCAAGTTGAAAGGTCATCATTTCAAGACAGTGGAAAACATCAAAAAAAAGTTGTAACCGACGAACTAAACATTCTTATGGAAAACGACTTCAAGTACTGCTATGACCAGTGGAAAAAACTTTGGAACCACTGTGTGACCTTGCAAGGGTCGTACTTTGAAGGAGCTCATTTGTAGTTTGATGTAACTCTTGTGTACTTTGAAATAAAAAATCAGTACACTTACTTTTGGGACAGAGTAGTATGTATCAATCTTCACCTTGGATTTAGGAGTACCAAAGTGCTAAGTTCAACACTTTGGTACTCCTAAATCACTTTCTGTACAATAAATTTGAACTTTACATACATTTTCTTCAAATCATTGTATGATTTTGGTGTTACTGAAACCACCATCACACACATTATTTACAAAAAGACTAGAAAATCTCTTACTAAAGGAGGAATGCATTATGTCTGAAAGTTGGGGACTGTATTTATTCTTATCTATAACATATGCAAAATTCATTATGTTTAAAAAAATCAAATTAAAACAAATGATATGATATGTAGTTCAGACTAAATTAGTTTTATTTATGTATATAATTAGAATAGACCTATACATTATATCTATTTGGTTGCATTACACCAAGACCTAAAATTCTGTAACAGTTACTTTTATTCAGTTAACAAGTTATTTATCAATGTAATTCAATAATTTTTTTAGATTATGGATGTTAACTAATAGTTAATAATTAAAACTAGTAAGTTATATTATGTGAGAGTAGCCTGGGGTACAGGGTAGGTTTATTACGCCTGTATCACTTACTAGGCACAGATTATCCGAAATCTGTCTCCAAAGTTTCGGATAGAGAGATCCGATCTTAAAAAGTTTCATAGGAGAGCGATAATCGCTAGTAGATCTGAACGGTGAAGTTCAGATGCTCGTCAGGACTGACACCAGTTTGTCAATGTATCGATCCGCGGACAAACACGCGTATGAGATCTGATTCTGATTCAAAATTAGGAGACATTTTAATTATAAAACAAACAAAAGTAAATTTAATGATTCAAAAAGTAAAACTAATACAAATATCAAAGAACGAGGGATATAAATACGACAATTAAGCTACACGATATAGGCATGGACTTATACTATAACCGATGCGCGATTGAGAGAGAGCTCACAAAATCATTATAAAACATACAACCTGTTTACTTGTCGTTCGTCTTCTTCTCTGTAGGCAAGGGACACTTTGGGAGATAAAGTTCATTTACTTCCTTCCATGGAAGATCAATATGTGCACAAAATCCAAGTATGTTTTCTAAGTGCTAACTCTGGAATTATTCTGTATGTGACTCGTCTAAGGACGTTGGTCATCAGGAGGAAAATGTATGGAGTTCGGACCCTCTCTATGTCTGTCGATGAACTCCCTGAATTCTGTCAAATTTCCTCTATATCTGCTGATTTTCGACCAATCATCGGCCAGTAACTCTTTCATGAGAACGGATGAAAGGGGAATGAATGAGGGGTAAACATTTCCCATCTGAGCGGGATTTTAACCAGATAAGGGAAAGTCAGAGGATGTTCTAACTTCTGTGAAAGGAAGTAACATCTGTTATCTGCCTTTTCCCATGTTTAAAATATTATTTTTCTCACCAAAAATGAAGTAATATTTGGTGGCAATATCAGGCCTGGGAGTGCCATTTACTCTCTGAAAAAGTGAGTTGAAATACAAAAAAAGTGAGTAAAAAGTGAGTGCAATACAAGCAGCCCTTGGTTTACTCCGGCTCAATTTACGCCGATTCACAATAACGCCACTGCACAATTCACCATTTCGCAGTGTAATTCCCCGATTTTCCCTATGCTAGACTGATTTTCATTTCAGTGTTGACATATTTACCAAGCCGCGACATTGTATATTCGTTAAAACAAAGATTTTTATTGAATATATTTATTTTTTCTGTTTAATATTATTGGGTATG